TGCGATTATTATTTCTTGTCTGCAAAACACCTGTGCAACCTCTTTAAATGTAGTTGCTTCAAACTATTAAAATACCAAATTTATTTATTTTATTCCCAAGAATGAAATACATTGACTAGAATTCTCGCAGTAAGCGTTAGAAATATTGAGAAATATTGTGAAATAAATGTCTTGTTTACTAATTTGTTCGATTATTTTTAATATTTTTTTCCATTATGTTGAAAAATCAAAAGAATTTTTATTATTTTTAAATTACTAGGAGTATTAATGAAAATTTTAATCTCCTATTTTTATACAAAGAATGGAAACTGGATGGTGAATCATTAAATATCTGAAATTCTCGCGCATCAGCTTCGATATTATAACTCAGTTGTTAAAATCAATGCTAGCAAATATTTAGACACCAACTAAACTTGGTTCATTTCTGATGCATATTTCTTTTTTTACTTTTTTCCAATTGAAATCGTATTTTACAAAACAGTTTTTTGATGATAATTTCTACAAAAATAGAATTAACATTCATTTGTTAAGATAAACAATGTCAAATTTTTAAAAATTAACGAAATCGTTCGTATCTTTTCAAGAAGGTATGTCGGCGAAAAAAATTCGTATACCAAATCAAATAACATCATATGAAGATATTATTAATTGTACGTATTCCGATTTTTGAGCAACTTTAGAAATCGATTTCAAGATTTTGGCAATTTGATCATTTATTAAATTAGTACATATGTAATAAAATGATATTCAATTTTCCAAAATTGTATATAGTGCCAATAAATTTTACTGAAATAAATATAATGGGAATGATATAAAGTTTGTGACAAAATATTCATTTTTATACAAAGAATCTATTCATTTTTAAACAACTATTTGAATATACCATCTGTATTATTAGATATTGATCAGATTTCAATATCTGAATAATTCAGCTTGAATTACTATTCTATAAAATCTGTTACACATGGATATATGGTGTTAGGAATCAATATTTTGATTATAAGATTAATACAAAAAAACTTTGGGATATTATTCTCATTTTGCAAAACACTTCAATTTGGAACGGAATAAATATATATTCAGCAATAATTAATTCTTTTTGCCGTTTGTAATTCTAGCAACATTCCAAAATGGAGGAGTTTTTTAAAAATAAAGAAAATTTTTATAGAAAAAAATCATAACAAAAAAATTTATTTTCAAACTATCTTTTTCAAACCTTTAATCATCAAAAACACTAGAGATGCGAGTTTCCGAATTTTTTTAGCCCTGGGATGTCATAACCGCTGCGGTTTTGTAAAATTTGGGATAAATTTTGACAATCCATTTTTTGTGGGATGTACGTTTATATCAATTTGCTCGGCGTTTGCCGAGCTATTGTACAATCCTACTCGAATTCATTACGCAGCCCTGGTCACTCAAAGGCCAGGGCATACAATTACAAAATAGTAGAGTGAGACTCTTCTAATTTCTTCCAATCACAAGGAAGATCTTAGAAGAGCCTCACTCTACTCGAACACATTACGCAGCCCTGGTCACTCAAAGGCCAGGGCATACAATTACAAAATAGTAGAGTGAGACTCTTCTAATTTCTTCCAATCACAAGGAAGATCTTAGAAGAGCCTCACTCTACTCGAACACATTACGCAGCCCTGGTCACTCAAAGGCCAGGGCATACAATTACAAAATAGTAGAGTGAGACTCTTCTAATTTCTTCCAATCACAAGGAAGATCTTAGAAGAGCCTCACTCTACTCGAACACATTACGCAGCTCCTGCTCAACAATGAGCAGGTCTTACCACTTTGAGAGGCTTTCGTTCGAGTTCTGATGCAGATCCCAACGCGAGCGAGAGTCTCTCAAGCAAGCTTCTAATTCGTAGCTAGAGTTTCACTCTTATGAACTGGCAGCCAATTTGAGAGACTTTCGCTCGAGATCTAATGAAAAATCAGAACTCGGCCAAAAATTGCCCAAACAGGCTTGTAATTCGTAGCTATAGTATTGATCGTATGGATGTGTTGCCAATATGAGAGACTTTCGCTCGATGTCTGATATTGCATCAGACATCGAGCGAAAGTCACTCAAAACAGCTTAGACATGTCTATTTTGACGGCATTAAATGATTTCATAGGAAATGTCTCAGTTGTTAATTAAGTTCACGTGAGCTTTTATGAATGAAAATAAGTAAAAAAAAAAAGAATTTTCTCAAAAAAAATTGTGTACGCATTGAAATTTTTATCGATAAATTTAGATATGTCATCAATAATATAATATAATTTTAAATTCGTGGAGTACACTTGGGATAATTGAATATGGGCTACCCCATCCCAACCTCTCAAACTTCCTCTGAATTTGGACAAGGTATCCCAATCCCAAAGACCTATCTGAATAAAATGAAATAAGTATATTATATATATTATTTATTTGCTAATAATGAGCATAAATCGCTAAAATTATGAAGAAATTAAAAATTAAAAATTAAAATTAGAAAAAAATGTTGATTTAATGAGAGAATATTGTATAAAAATAGAATTATTAGCTAAAATACGTATTAATTTTATGATATTTCAATTACATTAACGAAAATCGCCCATTTTTAATTCAAATGGGCGGGAAAAAAAATAAAATTCCAAAAAAAATTGAATTGGGGAAACGATAGGGGACGGGATATGAGAAACCCCATATGTTTGGGAATTTTTCGCATCACTAAAAACACAATTGTTAATATTCATTCTTTCTATTGTGCTATTCGAATAGTACGATTTATACTTTTTTTGCTAATTTATTAAATATGTCGAATTCGCGGAGGAGCGCTGTTGCAAAATGATCTATGATGTGTAGCGGTGTTTTGATAAAAAGAGGTCGGTCAACGTTTTTGAGTTTTTTCGACCTCATTATTTTTCTGATTTATCTGTTGCATTATATCAAGGGTACAATAATGCATGATATGTCACTGTTTTTATCTAAAAATTCCATAGTATTTCTGTAAAAAATTTATCCATAAAAAATTTTTCCAATCGAAAGAAAAATCGAAAAATTTTGAAATTTTTATAGAACAATATTGTGACCGAAAATTCATTCTCGTTGCATACATCTCATTAAGGTAAAACATTATCTGAAACAACCATGTTTTAAAAAATTATAGATAACGAGATATTTGATACTTAATATCAATAAATTTTGAATGCCCTCTCAAAAATTGAATGGACGTCGGTCAACCCTTAACAAAACTATTTAAAGTCATTTTACTAAACTTGTCCAGAATCTCCAAAATAAAAAAATTGCCGCCATGAATCTCCGGATTTGGCGATTTTTAAGAAATTTTATCTGATATTAGTCGCATGTATGGGAAATATGAATTTAAACAAATCTAATAGTAAATACTGGACTTACACTATTCGTAATATTATAACATATAATTAATTCATGAATAAGAAAGAATTTCTTTGCGATTTCCAAATTGATTATCATTGACTCATTTCCCTATATTTATTGTATGATAAAAGGTATAGCATCTTGTACTTATATTATATTAATAATAATTAGAGGCAAAAATAAATCCCCGCATCAATATGATAACAAATTTTTAAAATATACTCATATATTGGCACAAATTGTAATCTGTGAAATCTGATGATAGTTCTTTAAAGATATAAACAGATAAATGTGTAGAAAATAAGAAAGGGGAAAAAAGCCCTTTTAGAATTGATTTCTTCTGACGAAAATATTGATGAATAAACTAATACAATACAAACATTTTACGAAACGAAATAGAAACAATACTAGATAGTTAAATTCTTAATTAAAGCAATTAACTCTCAAAGTAAGCTCCCTTTGGAACGTAAGAGGAGTTGGTTCAATAAAAGAATAATTGCCGCACTTGAAATTTATAGTCGGAACCCTTAAATCTCTTTGAAATTGAGAACCAATTTTCAGTCTATGCAAAATTGTAGGAGCTGCAAGGTATGGTATCTCTAATCCCGATATGTGTGCCAATTCAGGCATTATTGTTGATGAACTTTTTGGAAAATATGAAGCTGCAAATTCTTTTCCTCTTGTTGCGTGATCTGATGCAAAATAATGGAAATGTATGTCATCATAGTATTTGAAATTTTTCAAATGTTGCCCAAATTCGTATTCTGAAAAATTGAAATCGGATGGAAGAGTTTTAAAAAGGTTATATGTCACTGCAAATGCTGATTTGAGTAATGGATAAGGCTGACATGTTGTAAAAGCATCTTGATTATTCATATATTGAGTAGGTAGGCAACCAAATCTCCCAACAATCGCATTTTTATCAGATATTGATTCTAATATATGCTTCAAATAGTAGGGAGAGACAGCAGTATCCTTTTTTGCAAAAACTACCCATTTAATATCACCTTTTAGTAAATTAAGATCAGAAATTCTACAACAAGGCCATTCCTCGATGTACTTGACGCATTGCTTTCCATATGCATCAACAGTTACAATAGGAATTTGATCAAAACGAAGAAAAAGAAACAGTGATATCATGTTTGTCACTTTTCATACAATTAAGGCTTCACTTACGCCCATCTGACTTTAATTCAAATTTTTGGCAACTGGCATCATTGAAAATTAAAGGTCATGTCATAGGGGCGTAAGTGCACACTTAATAAATAATGATTTGTTCAAACTTAATGGTGAACTTACCACTTTCTGACATTCTCTCAATTTTTTTGCCATTCAAGCTTTATATCCCAAATTTCTAAGGTAAAAAGTTAATATATTTGGTCATGAAAAAGTTATCAAAAGTCACTATATAGTGGCTAGTATGATTGCTATACTTTTTTGCTATTTTATTTTTTAATAAAGATATAGAAAGTAGCATGTCAGAAAGAGAAATGCGGGTGTGAAGAGGGATAGAAAATAAAACAGAAGTGTTTCGACTGAAAATTTGATAGAAAAGGGTAATTTTTCTTGCAGAAATAGAAAGAGTATGTCAAAAAGTGGTAAGTTCACCCTTAAAAAACAATTTTTTATTCTATATATTTTTCTTTGATTTCTTTTTTGAATTTTTCTTTCTAATAACAATCCAAATAATCAAAGAATAAGCACAAACAATGATAACTACAATAGGAACAACAATATAGTACAAGTTCGCGTTCTTTTGATCATCATCTTTGATAGTATTCGATTGATTCAAATGTTGTTCAATTTGTTTGTTTTTTCTCACAGAAAAATCAATTCCATTCCGTCGAATTATTTCATCTTCGTCATGAGCGATCAATATATTGGTGAAAGCAAGTTCCTTGTTAGTACACCATATCTCAAATCCAATTCCTGTCATTGTAGGAAGCTGTGATGGACTTTGAACTTTGTAATAATCTGGATTTGGAATTTGTTTCGGTTTCCAAGGCCCTTTATACTCTGGATTGATTGTATATGGCTTTTTATGGACATATTGTGGGTTGGAAATTAAAGGAGGAGAGTATTTTCCGCATCCTTTTTCGCATTTTGGATTTTTAATCAAAGGAGGTCTCCATTCTCCTAGGATTTTCTCGTTCCATTGGGATGGTTTAACTGCGTTTACATCGGGAATAAGCTCTGGTTCGTCCTCATTCCATTCCAAAGGTTTATCTAATTTGGATGGATCCAAAATCATTGGATCTTGGGATTCTGATGGAGAATCCTCTTCGTATGTAAAGATAAATTTGTTGTCGACCCAATCTTTTGGCTTTTTATCATTAAGATCTGGAAGAAATTCTTGAGGAGCAATTGGAGGATCGAAATCAGTATATAAGCTGCCTTCTTTGACAACAGAGTTATCTATTAAGATGGAGTATGTATTTGTTGGCCTGATTATTAAAGTATATATATGATTAAAGTAATCAATTGGAAATTTCGGAGGATCTATGAGACTTCGCTCTTGCATTTGCTTGAGAATAGGATTGTAAAGATTAAATATTAACTGAATGATCTGTTTTGAAGAGCATCTGTCTGGTCCGAATAAAATAACCCAAGGAGTCTTGTCATTCATCTTTTTGGGATCAAAACTACTACCAGTAAACAGTTTCATGTATGCTCCACTGCAAGTAAATGAATGCTGAGCTCTAAATTCGTATTGAATAATTAAAGATCGATTTTTCGATGGTAAAGGATTTTTAAATTTTGTGGATATAGCTAAATGTGTATTTCTCGTCTTTTGAATAAGAGCTTTCTCATTTTCTCGCCCATGTGGAGGAAAAGTATCTCCAATTCCCCAATCGCCATCATATTTTTCATCTTCTGACTGTATCCATCTATCAGTTACATTCTTGCTATCGAATGTCTCATAATAGAAGACTTTGCCAAAAGGGAGTTGGCGCTTAAAAATCAGAAAACAAAACATTGAAGAATGAAAAGTGAAAGATTTTAGGAAATTTTCAAATGAAAAATCATCATATCATGCTCTAGTTTTATCATACTGTAATATTATTTCATAATCAACTATATTTTGTGATCAAAATCCGAATTTTGAAATATTTTATTTTAGTAGTAGGATAGGAAGGGTTGTGTGACTTTTTTTGTTACGTCTATATATAGATGAAGGTATATTTTCACATCTTCTATATATAAATGATATAAAAATTTTTTCTTACGTTTTTTAAGTCATGAATTCGTAAGAAAGCGCGACATTATTAAATAAATTAGTAATAAATATTATATACTAAACACATTTTATTCAATTAACATTAATTTTAAAATAATTTATTTTTTTATCTTTTATAAAAGAAGCTATATATAGATGATGTCAGATATTCCGCGATTAATTAAACATTGTTTAAATCCTGAACGGAATCAATGGAGTCATAATCAAAGACCTCATAAACGAGTAAAAGAAATTAGAAATAATTATTTTCATGAATGAAAGATTCACTACCATAATGAAATAAAAAAATAAAAAAAATAAACTTCTTACGAAAAATTAAACGCAAGACTATCAAAAGATAGAGTTGAAAGAGTAATGGTAATGATGAAGAAGAAATTTGATGAGTTCAACATTGAACTTTAAGAAACTAATGATTATTTGAATTTATGAAATCAATTATTTGATTTATTCTTTCTTCAATCTCTTCTATTCTTTTTGTTAAATCATCTATTTTCATTAATGAGGTGATTCTTGATTGAGGAATAGATTTCAAACTAACCACTCCTTTTATTTTTGAAATTTTGAATCCATTAACTTTAAACATTTTATTCAATTTACACGTTGTCAATTCTTCAAATAATTTTTTATTGTTAGCATAATAGTCATTAAATTCTTCAACAGATGAAAAAATTTTTATTTCAGTAATTGGTTTAACAACGTTTATTTTTTGTTGAACATTTTCACTTTCATTTATTTCTTCCTCCTCTGTTTCATTTATTTTTAAAATCGGTTTCATTTATGATAAAAATAAAAATTTAAATATAAGTGATGAAATATATTTTTTAATTAATATTAAATCAGAAATGGCTGCAGGATTCTTTAAAAAATTATGGGATGGAATTAAGAAAGCTGCGGGTTGGGTTTATAAAAAGATTATTAAACCCGTTGCAAACTTTTTGGCACCAGTAGCGAAAACGGCAGGAACTATCATAGGTGGAGTATTAGGTACTAAAGCAGGTAATCCGGCGATGGGAGCACAAGCAGGTAACGCAATTGGTGGAATTGCTGAAGGAATACTTAATAAAATAGGAGGAGATAGTGGAAAAATAAATAAATATTATTTTTATCTTAGTATCGGTTGAAGTCTTTGATAAACTTTTTCTCCTTTATTTAATATTTCTCTTATTGGGGCGGCTTTTGGCGTTATTGATTCAGCAACGTCACTAATTGCTTCTTTATTCTTAAATATCCAATTTGCTCCTTCTTCATTGTTTCCCAAACTTTATGCGCTCCTCTTTTTACTTTATCCCACAGTTTCTTAAAGAATCCTGCAGCCATAGTTGATTATTTCATTAAAATTAAAAATTCATTTTCATCTTTTAATTTTGATTTTTTATTTATAATAAATGACGACTAACTATTTGGTGCCAAACACTAAACCGATTAATGGAAATGTGTTTCATTCATTCGAAAAGATAAATGAAATATTCGCAAAGAATGACGGTAGAAGATATTATAGAGAACTTGAAAGTTCATGCTATGACTCTGATGCTCCATATTTTGATGATAAACAAACTCATTTAAGAATTACAAATCCGGCTCATGATGTGAACCAATTAGGTGACACATATATTAAACGCAAAGTTAAAGCAACTCTAGTTTCAAATAAAGCTTTCACATGTGATGCCGCTTTTAAATGCATGCGTTTATTCGTTGGTTACAAATCATCAAATCAAAGCTTTAAAACAATTAGAAGTAGAAACCGAAAGAGGTGATGCCGGTTATCTTCAGATGGATTGCGCCCGTGAATCTTTCGCATTTGCAACATATAAACCAAAATCAGAAAGGAAAGTTAAAAAGTTTGTTCATTCGTTATATAATAATGTTCAAAATATGATAACTCAGTATGTGGTAAATATATTGACCCTTCAGAAGTTTTCAAGAAAGCAAATGAAGAAGTTGATGTCACTTTTGATATGATTATTCCGGTAAATGATTTGTTAGCATTTCAGGCGTTCGATGATTATCCTAAATCATTTGGTGAAATCATTCTTAAATATTATGTTTTCAGGGATACTTTAGTATTTTGTCAGGTTGACCCGTTAAGAGTTGCTGATTTACAAAATTACGTTTATGAAAAGATAACTGATGAAAATTATGAAAAGATTATGAATCATGTTTATAAATATGATCGCAAATTCCAACAAATCGGACTTCCTGCCAAATTAATTACAAGCTTAGCCGCTACATCTGCTGACGCAACAGTTGATGACGTTATTATTTCATGCACAAAGATGGAAGTTTTAGAGGATAAATGCATTACACCAGGATACGGTTTAATTGAAGAATCAGTTAAAGCAATACCACGTTTATTCAGTAAGGAAGATCCATTCATGATTCCAGCTCAACATATTGACGTTCGTTCACTAAATGGAGGTTGCATCACTCCTGAAGGTATTAGCTCAGATTTCCATACGCTCTTCATAATGTTACAGATGTTGTGTTAACATTTCCGAAAGAATGCAATGCAAAGAACAGTTTTAGAAAATCCAATGCTTCGAGGTCTTCAGGTCACTATAGATTCCAGAAACTTCCCCGATCAAGCGATGACCACAGTGGGTGACATATTCTTTACACGTATGCTTCAAGCTTCTGATTTAGATGGAGTGAATGAATGCACAGAAGAATACGAGGACTCATTAACTAGACCACTGAATGATGATAATGGCACGCCATTAGCTAGAACATGGAAAGACCAAACTTCATTCTTATGCACTATTCCAGTTCAACGTGATGGAGCGGGTATATTCTTTGATGGATTAGAAACTTTCAATTCACAAGTTACAGTACAAGTGAAAGCTTATCCAATCATTCAGGGTGTAAAATGACACTTACTGTTCAAAGGTGACAAATCCTCCTCAGGTTTGGTTTACTAGGACTACATATTGGACATGGACACCGGATGAAGGTTTGAAATATCATCCAACAGGTACACCACCACAGTATAGAAGTTCATATGATGAAATATTGATGAATAGAAATGTTTAAAATTATAAATTTATTTTTGATTAAATGGATTTAAATTCATCCACCCTTATGAAGAATTAGCGGAGTATATAATACATACGTAGATGATATGATTAATGAAGCATTGAGTGATAATAGAAATGCTCTATCTAAGGAAAAATTAATGAAAATTCCATATTCTGAATGTTACTTAAATTCAATCACTGCAGCAATTGGTAAACAAAATAAAGGTAAAACATTAACGATATTAAAACAAATTATCATTATTGCTAACACTTCCCCCTATTCACATGTGTTAATTTATATCAACCGTTCAGGTTCACCTTCAGATGATACATTTGAATCTTTAAAGCATTTAATCAAAATTCCAATTATTTATTTATCACAAGAAGAAGCAGAAGATTATTTAAAAAACTTTTTAATGTATAAAGAATTATATAATACAATCAAGAAGCAAGGATTAGAGGATAAAATTATTGATAAACAACGGGATGAATTATTTGAAACACTTTCTATTTCAAATTTTGATAGAGAATTTTTGCATTCACTCATTTTTCTAGATGATGCAGTGAAATCAAAACTAATAACAAATGAGAAATCATATTTTAATCAGTTATTAACTCAATGTCGACACATTCAGTGTTCATTCTTTGGCTGTTCAATACTTCAAAGCATTAAGCACAAACATTAAATCAAATCTATCAACACTTTTCATTTTCAGTGGGTTTAGTCGTCAACAGTTGAACGTTATGCTTTATCAAGTGAATTTACCAATGAGCATTAATGAACTTTACACACAATATCAGCAATTAGGTGAACATGGAAAAATAATAGTTGATTTAAATAAAGGAAGTGTTAAATTTGATTAACTTTTTATAATTAATTTTTATTTTTTATTTATAATTAAACATGACAGAAATAGCAAATCTTCTACAGGTTCCATTAAAACAAGGACAAACAAAAAGGGTGCATATAATAGAACTATGAAAGTTCCTGATGGAATGAAAGAATTAGTTCATATTGTTGCTGGTCTTCAAAAAGATGTTAAACAAATGAGAAACGTTTTAACATTACCAGAAGCTCAAGCATATGCCAAACGTCATGGTCCAAATTGGGAAGCACACGAAGCAGACATTACGGGTCCAAATGGAAAACCTGATGGTATAAATGAAGTTTTCGTTACGATGGTCAAGGTAATATTAAAGTCATAAATGGTTATAAATTAACTATATCTGATTATCCTAAACGTAAAGTATATAATGAACGTTATCCTATGCAATTTGATGAAAATGGAAAAGCTGTTAAACAATACATTGGAGAAGGTGAAAATGGTCCAATTAATTCATACCGTCGTAATCCATATTCTTATTTCAATGAAGAATTAAATGCTATTGAAGAGGGACCGGATGGATTACCACGATATTCTAACCAGTTTGATGGTCAATATGCAAATATTAGACCTGAAATTTCAGCTAAGAAATTCTTTAAAGTTGCTTTATTCGATCCAGTTTTCGCAAATGTTAAAGATGAACTTAAACAGCAATTCCAACCAATTATAGTAGCAAGAATTGCATCAGGTGCTTTATCTCAAGCATTCAAAGATTTAATTAAGAAACCATTATATCAGCAACGTGGTTTAACTTATGATTTAGTTAAGGAATCAGATAAAAGAAAATTTGAGAAATCAGATGATTATAAGAATGCAATTAATGAATATATTCGGTCTATTAATTTCGATGAAAAGCTAAAAATCAACTTCATGAACAAATACAGGGAATAATAGATTCAAAAGTTCCAGCAAAATAAAAGTTTAAATATATTTTTTTTATTCGATTATAAATGAGAAGACGTTTCACTAGTCAAAAGAACACTAACGCAAAAGCAGAGATTACGGTTGGTTATAACGTAAATGATGATAAATCACGAATTATTCAAAATGTTAAAGTTAATGTTAGCCCTGAATTAACAAGGTCAGCAACTCAACCAAATTTATTAACTCGTGACTTACCGAAGAATGAGGAGAATGAAGAAAACCATGAGAATGGAGACCCAATCATTTTATCTGAACCTGGTAAAGAACCTGTTGAAATTCCCACTTATCCAACATACCCCCACCTCTTTCATCAAACATCGAGAACCCATATAAAATAGACATTAATTCTGAATTAATGAAAATTTACCGTGATATAATAATTAATAATTATGATTCAATAATAAATTTAATTGACCAATCCGGTTTAATTATTTTACCTTATGAATCATTAATTCACATTATCGCCATTCTTTGTGATGTTCAAGATTCAGACGTTAAGATTCAATTTTTCATAGATGATGAGGTTTCATGCTGCGGAACAGTTGCAAAAATAAATCCTATAAAGGATATTAGCACAATTAAGATATCAAAGAACGGAACAACAACTGAACTTCATTTAACATATAATGATATTTATAATAAAATAGTTGATGAATATAAAATATCACTTGAAAAATTCTTTGTTAAGGCTATTTAATATTCAAGCATTAACATTATCGAATAATAATCCTTTGAATCATAATCAATAATAATTGACCTTTCACCAGTTTCTATCGTTTGTTTTATTTCTTTTTGTTCCCCACTATCCGGATCGGTCATTGTAATTGTTTTTGTTATAGTATCAGCTTTATCTTTAACTTCAATCTTTTTTCCATCGGGATATTTAAACCAAAATTCCAAAAATTCGATATTGTCAATCTGTTCATATTTTAATCTATCAATTACATTTTTAATACCATCTGAAAATCTTATGAAATGGTCATTATATGGGTTTGATTGAACTAAATTTGAATGAAGTGAAATATAACCTGTTGATGAATATGACATTGACTCATATTTTCTGAAAACACTAAAATTTATAACATGAATGAATTTCTTATTCGTTGAATTTATGAATTCTTGAGGTAATCTTATTCTAGTTTTATTTATCACTGGAAAATAACGCTTTACCATATTTTTAATCGTAATAAAAATGTCAATTATCAATATTATTTCGAATAATAACTGTGAATTAAATTTAACAGTTAGCGGAATTTATAATGTTACTCTCGTTTCTGTGAGTGGTAAATTTAATCCCATTCTTTTAGACCCTTCAGATTATATATCATTTATTAAAGATGACCTTGAAAAAACGTATGATATGTATATAAATAATGTGATAGCGAAATGGGATATTAACATGATTTTAAGTTATTTAAATGAATCATTTATCGTATGGTATGAAGAAAATTTTAAATCAAAACCGATAAACTTTTTGAACTTGATGAAATAAATAACCTTATTAAATTTCCGCTGAAAATTAAATTTTGTACTCCTCATCTTCGTTCATTGTTGGGGATATTAAATTTTGAAAAAGATGTTGGGGATGTTTTGTATTCTGACACTGGTTCCAATTTCATTTTAATCAAATGTGATAAAGTTAATACCCCAATGAGATTTTCACATCAAACATTAGACCCTAACTCTTACCCATCAATACAAAACATTTTATCCATCAACTTAAACACATTTTCTTTATCATATCCGTTTCAATTATCCGGGAATTCATTTATTCTTCATTCAAAAGATTTATCAAATATTAAATTTAGAATAACTGACCTATTTGATTGTGATTTAGAATTCATGAATGAAATATTATGGCAATTTCAAATAGAAAAAATAGCTGATGAGATAACGGATTAAATATTTATTTTTAAATCATAATAAATGATTAAACAACAGCAACCACAGCAACTTAAGGCACAAAACACCCAGGTCCTTCAGACCATTACATACGCCATATATGCATATAATTCAAAGACGGCAGAACAAACGCAAAGGTTGAAATATGGAGATTTGGAGATAGTATTGAAAAATGAACATTTCGAATTCGTTTGCAAAGGTGGTGCAGTGATATCAAATATAAAAGAAATTTTATTTATGAATTCTAAAATTAAAGGTATAACGGATGATATAACATCAATTCCACCAGAAGAACAGAGATATTACGCATTAAATGCATTTCCTAAAGTTTTGAAGATTGGAAGATTTAATTTAAATGAGGAATTCATAGAAGGTTTCCTAAATGACATAATGAAGAAGGTGGATAAGGAATATGTGGATAGTGAGTTAAATAAGAAGGCAAATTTGGTTTATGTTGATGAAAAAGATAATGAAATTAAAGAAAAGGTTGAATGGTATCATGAATGGACATTTGAGACTTTTAAAGTTAAAGCTGATACAGAATGGGTTTCAGGATGTTTAGATCTTAAAGCAGATAAAACTTATGTTGATGAAAATTATGCAAAGAAGTCGGAAGTAAATGATGTGATTACAAGCATGAAAAATGAAATACTTCAAACATTATATCCTGTTGGTTCTATTTATACATCAATGAACTCAACAAATCCATCAACAGTTTTAGGTTTTGGTACGTGGAAGCAGATTGTAGATAAATTCTTATACTGTGCTAGATATTCAAAGCAAACAGGAGGTTCGAAGAAAATTAAAGAAGCAAACCTTCCACCGCACACTCATACAGGAACGACAAACACAACAGGAAATCATTCACATTCAATAACAAAAAGAGGTTATATAAATCTTGCAGCGGGTTCGGATAGATGGGGAATGAATAGATATGATATCACAACTGACCCAGTAGATTCAAGCACAGGTATTTTCTGTGGAACCGCAGGTAATCATTCACACACTTTCACAACAAATCCAACAGGCTCGGGTAAAGATTATATGCCACCATTTGTGACTGTATTCGCATGGTACCGCGTTCAATAAACATACTTGAGCCTAGAATAAAATCTTTGGGTTTAGGCTTACCGAATGAACTAAATATATTTTATGTCTGTAATTAATTAGGTAATGAACTGCGGAAATAAATGTTTACGTTAAGTGACTCAAAGAGTCTGGAGACAAAGTCTCATGTTTTCAGGTTATTCAATAATTAATTATTTTTGAAGAACTGAAGGTGTCACTATGTCACCATGTGTCACTCGGTTATTTAACTTCTCTGAAAAAATGAGACAACATGACATTTTGACAACACAGCAGGAGGAAGGTATTTATGAATTATTTTTGAAGAACTGAAGGTGCTACCATGTTACCATGTGCTACCAGGTTAATTAACTTCTATGAAAAAATGAGACAACATGACATTTTGACAACACAGCTGGAAATATATTTTATCGTAAATGTTTTGTCATGATTTCATCGTAAACTCTATGTCAAACATGAACGTATATGTTTTGTCATGACTTCATCGTAATAAGCGTAAACTCTATGTCAAGACTTCTTCGTATATGTTTTGTCAAGACTTCTTCATCGTAATGAGTGTAAATGACCCAAAAATAATGTTTAGGGTAGATGGTTAGATCTAACCTGATATCTAACCTCATTTCTAACCTCATTTCTACCCTCATGAATTTTCATGAATTTTATATATTAATGTTTTCGTTAAGCCACTTTGTGCCGTCAGTCAGTCAGTCAGTCAGTCAGTTTAGGAAAGACTTTAGAAAGTTGTTGGAAAATAAGTCCTGGGAAGAGTATTATAAGGCATTTTGTGAAGAATATAGCAACCGCCGGAATTCAGACGGTTGTTTTTTTATACAAAATTCATGCAGGAAATTCTTGAGTTTTGGTTGAAAGAATACGGTCGAGCCACTTTTGGCTCCACCTCAAAACAAGCATTTTATGAGCTTACTAAGGGCGTTATAAATGAATTCAAAGGTATTTACATACATCCTGACCTCGTTCATTTTGTTGCTGAATTCAGCAAAAATAATGTTTAGGGTAGATGGTTAGATCTAACCTGATATCTACCCTCATTTCTAACCTCATGAATTTTCATGAATTTCCTTAAGACAGAAGAAATAAAGTTAGTTTTATTTTTATTTTTTTATTTTGTATAAAAGATACGATTTCAACAATCGGCACAACAACAATTCAAGCCACGAACGGCGGGACTCTGTCCACAACTACGGCACCAAATTCATTAATCATGAATCCTACGTCAATGTTGGTAGAGATGAAAAACTTCATTCCTTCTTCATATACTTTTGAAACAGAAATACAAAGAATAAAGCAAGAACTTTTAACAAGTAATTTAGACTGTAGTGCGAAAGATGAAACAAATGGAGAGGAGCTATATGAAATGCAAGATATCATAGACCATTTGCCTAAATTACCGGAAGTTCAGCAACAAAAACTAACTATTCCTGAATTCGATGAAATTGAAGTTAAAGTTACTGATTCAGTAGAAATAAAGAAGTTCATACGTAAAGTAAATTATGAATTCCTTGGTTTTCATTGCAACCATAAAGTTATGAACAAAGATTGCGACATGGTTTATAAAAACATTTCTGACATATATAAATCTGAGGAGTTTAAGACTTACGATAACTTTGTTTCATTAGCTGCTGAATGTGTGTGGCAGATAAGAGATAAAGACAGAAGAGGCAAAGTATGGAACGAACAGATAAAACCAACTGCTTCAGATTTAAAGAAAGCCATTGATGCTTTAGTTGTTCTAGCAGGTCAAATTTCAATGTATAACGCAAAAATGAATCCGCAATGCTCAAAATGTAAAGCAGCAATGAGGAAATATAACTACTCACTAAAAGAGATAGAAAGAATGAGAAACGATTACGCAGACTTAAAGAAAGAAGCAGAAAAGCCAGCAGAAGATAAAATGGACATGTTGACATTTCTTAATAAAAACTATCCCACAGCTGATGATTTCCTTTTATCTGATGTCAAGAAGAAGTATAAAGAAACTTTCGGCATTGTTAAAATTTTTGATATATTAACTGAAGAAATAGAAGCTACAAAAATATTTAAAATTTCACGAATTCATAACGTATATCACGTTAAACGTTTGTAAATCTTGAGGTTAGAAATGAGGGTAGATATCAGGTTAGATCTAACCATCTACCCTAAACATTATTTTTGTCTGAAAAATGACCAAATTTCATGAATTTCATTAGTTAGAAAAATAACGCTAATTTTTTCTAAGAAAATTTTTTATTTTGTATGTAAAGACAGTAATGTCAAACATTGAGTTTGAAACAGTTAGAAAGATTGACAATGACACCAAAGTAGTTAGAATAGGTGATTTAAACGTAAGATACTCAAAGAAATACAACAAATATTCTTTGTCAGACATTATATCTCCATCTGAAAAGAAAACAAAGGACTGGGTTAGAATTGCTTCTACTCAGAAAATTTTGACAAGAAATCCTGAGCTTATGATATCAGTAGCATTTCATGGAACAAGAGCATATCTTATAGACAAAAGTCTTATACCAATAGTTTTGTTATGGATTGACCCAGTTGTTGGATATAACTTCATAACTTATGGTTCATTCGATACGGAACGTTGCAGTGAAGGCTTACTTTACATCGTTCAGAAACCGAAGGACTTCAATACAAAGAGATATAAGATAGGAAGAACATATAATATAACTCAAAGATATGACAGTACAGTCAATAGAGTCAAGGTTGTGTTCGTTAATGATATGAGAGCTGCTGAAACAGAACTGCTTGAAGTTTTTGAGAAAATGTATGGTGCTCCATGAAAGGTAAAGAAACGTTTGAAGTAGATGAGATAGATAAAGCTATAAAATTATTTGACGAAGTTGCTGAAAAATACATGTAAAGCGTTTATTTTTGGTCTTTTGTGAAAGTCAGAAAAAAAAAGTTAGTTTTAAAATTATTTTTATTTTGTATGAAATGACAGTAATGTCAACATCAGAGAACACAACAACTGCTATCGTTCATGAAGCCATAAATGAAGAATACGAGTACATACAATATAACAAACAACTTCGCCTCATTCGTTCGGTCAAAGATGACATGTACCAAATGCAAAGTATAATGAATGCTCTTCGTTCTACAAAGCAAGCATATCATTGGTTTGAAAACCAACAGACAAAAGAAATTTTAGAAGAATTTCCTCATATGATTGCTTCCCTCGGAAAACCGAGAGAAGAGATTCCGTATGAAAATCGCAAGAGGTTAGAAATGAGGTTAGAAATGAGGTTAGATCTACCCTTCTACCCTAAAATATATTTTGGGTCATTTACACTCATTACGATGAAATCATGACAAAACGTCTACCCTGTCAAAATTGAAGTTGGAGACAGAAGATACGTAGTTTTAAGGGTCAATGGTAAATTTAAGGGTCAATTTGATTACTTCAAGAATTTGATGAATTCATGCACAAAGGAATTTTATGATAATTTACTAACATATTTTATGCAATATGACCTTTCATCATTTAATGTACGAATCATACCGATGACTGAAGCCAAACAAGATTTAATTGAATTATCAACAAATCCTTTAGAGGAATGGATAAATACACATTATGATGAATTGTGTGCAGGTATGACGTGTAAAAATGCTCTATTCTGCAAACCATCAGACATGAAAGACAAGAATTTTCAAATGAGCATTAAGGATAAATGTGATAAGAAACAGAGAAGAATAGATGGTAAACAAACATGGTGTTATGTTTTGAAAGAAGAAATGAAAGGATTATATAAACAGGTTGAACCAAACGATAATGAGGATTCATTTACTGACGATGAAATACCTGTAAATGAAGCTTTATAAAGTATGATTTGAATTTATTTTTGCATTAATCCTGCTGTGTTGTTGTCTAAATGTCATGTTGTCTCATTTTTTCAGAGAAGTTAAATAACCGAGTGACACATGGTGACATAGTGACACCTTCAGTTATTCAAAAATAATTCATAACTGCCTTCCTCATTAATCCTGCTGTGTTGTCAAAATGTCATGTTGTCTCATTTTTTCAGAGAAGTTAATTAACCTGGTAGCACATGGTGACGTAGTGACACTGAAAAAATTAAATTTGGATTGAGTTTAAAAATTCATCTTTATTAAATTCATCTCTTCCAATCAATTTATTTATTCTATTAAATTCTTTTATTTTTGCTTCACCCAGTTTAAGGATTGAACGGTAAGTTTCTAACTTTTCAATTATTTCCTTCTTCTCTTTATCGTTTTCAATTACTTTAGTTTTATGGGCATCAACCCCACCGCATTGCGGCTTCTTTTTGTAATAGCATATTTTTGATTTAATTCTGTTTAGTTTCTTTTTATATTCATCGTCTGGACTCTTGGCTGCTTCGTTGTCACTCATTTCTTACGAAATAAAAAAATTAAATATTATTTAAATATAATGGAGTAATAAAATAAATCGGAATTTCTATTAATTTATTGTCAACTTCAACTAATGCATTGCCGTTAATATATCTAACAAATTCAGCTATTGTGTCAAATCTTCGTCTTCTTTTTGTCATTGATTTATCAGTTTTTCCATAATCGAGATGAATCAAAACTTTATCCCTTGTTTAAAATTCATGAGCCCCGAATTAATTTGTTCACGTTTAACATCATTCAACCTTTCCATTTGCTTTCTAATATATTCCCATTCTTTTGAAATATCATTTTTCATTTCACTGGTTTCATGTTTATAGTTCTATGCCATGTATTATTAAATAATATACTAACTGTTGTATGATGGAGTCATGATTTCCATCCCAGTATATCTGACCGTTAACCCCTAACGCATCTCTAAGAGTTCTCATTACCGCATCAACTATTTTATTATGAAACGTATATGGAGAGGATGAAAAGAAAAAATTAATTTGTGGGAAATAATGAGTCATAGTTGCCTGAAATCCTTTATCACCATCACCCCTGATATTATCTACTCTTTCATGATCTAGTAAGTATTGTATAGCTCTTCTTGTTTCCTGTTCTGTTTTCCCTTTCACTGGAATGCAATATAAATATCTAGTGTTAATGTTAATGGCAAATAAATAAGTAACTTTTCCTTTTGAATATTCCAGATGATCGATTTCGTATGAATATGGATATGGTGCAAATGAAGGGCGACTAAATTTTTCCTTTAACGGTTGAATTTTCGGGTCAATTGGTTTATTTAATATCTTGAAATCCTTTTTAAAATCTTTTTGCTTCTTTAATGTTTGAAATGGATATAATAAAGTGAATGATGAAGGATTAACTGAAGGAGGAGGCGGTACTGTCGTTGGAGGTTTTGGTGTTGCAAGTGGTTTAATTTTATCTGCTTTGATTTTGGATGATGAAGTTTAGTTGTTGATTTTCCTTTCATTAATTCTGGATGTATTCTATTCATTTGTTTTAAATATGCTGTATATAAAGGTTTGATATACTTTCCCGCTTCGAGTTTATGTTGAAGGATGAATTCCAAAAGTTGATCTTCATTTAAAAGTCGGGCTGAATATGGTTTAAGTAATGAATCATAAATTAAAGCTTGTGCTTCATTTATGGTCTGAAGGACCTGGGTGTTTTGCACCTTTTGTTTTTGTTCCTTTGGCTTTTGCGGCTCAGGATTATATAATTTATATAATTCATCAATATCTTCTTCTGTTAATACTTTATTTTTGAAATCTTTCAACTGTTTAAGTTGTGATTTAGTTTTTCCCTTTGAATATTCATTATTTTTAATTTTGTCTTTAATTTTAGAAATTATTCTATCATGATATTTCAAAATTTCATTTTTATAATATGGATAATAATATTCCATATCATCACCCGTTATATTGTTATCATATTTTTGGAGATATGCTTTTAAATCATAATAATCAAGAAAATTTTGATTAAATACTAAATCAGCAATTAAAATTTTTAAATCTACGTTATCCATTTATATAAAAATAAAATCAATGTTTTAAGGGTGCCCACCTCTTTGAATCATAGTATCAAAACCATTATTTACATATTGAATCCCATCATTAACGGTTCCTTCTTCTAAAACGGTATCAAATGGTGGCGGTTGTTGTTGCTGTTGATGCTGTGATGGGATTTAAAAAATTCGTTGTGGTTGATTATTTGGAATCTGAAAGTTAAAACCATTTGGTATAAATCGATTTGGTTCCTTTTGTCTCTTCTGTGGCATTTCATTAAAAATAAAATTTTAAATTGTATTAAATAAATGGCATACAACATCCATTTTCACAATATACAGCCTTAGTGTGTGCTCCTGTTAATGCAGTCTTACCGATTGTTAAGCGAGTCATTGACCCATTTTTAAGTTGTAAATTAATATTCTGACCATCGAAAATAACTTTATCATTTATTATATCCAAATATTTTTTAGGTGTTAATTGCTTATTTTGTCGTAAACTAACACCTTTCATTTTTTGTGCAATCTTTTTAAAATCACTTCCATCAATTGAACCGTTGAATGATGTATAACATTTAGGACATAAAGCAACCATGTTATCACCTTGTTTCTCAATTGCTAAACCCAATAACTTCTTCTCATGTGCTTTTTCTTCAGCTTTATTCTTTAATTTAGGTTTAAATTTCTCATCAAAACAGAAGAAATCAAATGGTGCGAATTTGAAAATGTTTTTATCATAAAATTGTTTATCGGTAACAATTGCTTGAAATGCTTGAGTGTTAGGAAGATTTGGGTCGCCAGCGATTGCCCAATAAGATGAATCAGTATCACCTTCAATGAAATGAAAACGATTAACATCCATGCATTTATACATAAAATCATAAATGAAAACCAAATACCAGTATTTAGCATTATCTGAAGTGAAGAATGCCTCTTGTAAACACGTATCACATCTATAAAATCTATCTTTAAGCATCACTTGATACGTATCCTCACCTATTTCTCTTATGTTTTTAAACTTATTTGACATACATGCAACGCGTGCCTTCTGTGCATTCATTATTTTAGTCTTTGCGTAATTTTGTGTATTCATTGCATCGTAACCATATGATCCATTAAGCGAAATCTTACAAAATAAACTTTTTCCTTTATTTCCTTCTAATTCAGCCTTTTGTCTTTCATTCATAAATTTGTTCGCAAATTCATTAAAACAAGTGTTTTTCGTAAATGTTAAAATTGATTGAATGTCATCAATGATAAAATGAAATCTGTCGATTAGATACCAAAGATAATAAGAAGAAAATGGTTGATATTGGTTGTGTGTTGATGCTAACTGAGTTAATTTTCTCTGTTTCTGGTCAACTGGTAGATTGTTTGATTTCATGTAATTATACATAAAACTGCCAATTGTTTTTTCATCTGTGATAATATCTAAGTTTCTTATTATCGGTAAAAAGTTTATGTAATCATTAATGTATTTTTCATCAATGTGACCCTTTACTTCAGCCACGAATAAAGTATTTTTCTTCTTAATTATTCCCAGTGCTTTTGCTTTCTTTGTTGCTGTATCACAAATGATAACACCATTCAATCTTCCCGGCATATACATTTTATGGTCAGTATATTGAATGAAATCATGAGGATTAGATGAAAATGATGAAGGATATAATGAATTAAAATCAACACCAACGAAATGAGTCATAATGTTGGAAGTGTCCTCATTTGATACAGTTTTAGTTTCTGGACTATATGAAAGTTTATTAATGTGCGTGATTCCTTTAAGATTTACTCTATGTTGAACATTTGATAGACCACCAGTAATTCCATTACGGAGAATGTGATAAGCTTCAACTGAATCTAAAGTCATTGGTAAATTATTTTTTAATGCATAATTTCTTAAATTGATTCTTAAACGTTGAACATCTTCATCTTTATTTGATTTTACGACATTGCAATAACAACACATTAACTGACAATTTTCTTTGGTATGTGGTTTTTCATTATCGATTCTATCCAATGTTGGTTTATTTGCATATGTAAACGCTTTACCACACATTTTGCATTTAGATGAAAGGATTAAATCGTGATAGTATTGAAAATCATCCATTGAAACATTATTTTTAGTATCCCTTTCTGCTTTTTCATCTTGTTTCTTATATGATTCAATTTTATATTTCCAATACTTTTTCGTTAATTCAAAACTTGATTCTATCTCTTCCTCAGGATATTTTTCATTAGGATTAAAGTCTTTATATGCTAAAGCGTAACGAATCATTGAAGCATTCGATGATAAAGAAAGATTATGAAGCATATCAATTTTATAAACAAATGTTTCTTCAATAATTTTATCGATTGGGTCAATCATAATTTCAACATCTTTATTGCAATAATGAATAAAATATTCTAATCTATTCTTAAAGTTTTTAGCATCATTGAGATATATTTGATAATCACTATCTGATATAGTTTCTTGAGTTAATGCTGAATAAAATGAATCTTTCGTGAATGGTTCCTCTTTATATAATTCTTCTTCGTAATTTTCCCATGTGATGAATTGATAAGGGAAAAAGGATTTAACACGTGATTTATTGTTTCCGAAATCTTGAGTGAATTGGTCTAATGTCCCACCCGCTATATAATTTCTGATGTCAATAAATCTCAATTCATATGGAACGTTTGTTTTCTTTACAATGATTTGCTTAAATTGTGAAGATGAACCCAGCATTGATTTTATTTTCCATTTTGCAGTGTTTAAATCACGAAGAATTAAATTTAAATCAAACTTTCCCGAATTAAAACCTATGATATTCACTTTATTGAATTCCTCATCTAGAAGTTCTTTAAATGCTTCCTTCTGTTTTTCATTTAATGTATGGTACAAAGTCCCCGCCGTTTGCGGCTTCAATAATTCTTCATATTGTTCAATATTTGATTTAGCAACTAATGAACAGGTTGAAAATAAAAACTCAATCCAATCAGAAATAAAAGAATCACTCGAAGTTAAGCAAAAATTCCTCGTATACGTTTTATCGTTTAATTTAACCGTTGATGATACCATGAATGGTTTTAAGTAAGCGTTCAAAGTTGCACACTCAGAAAGTTGTAATTCTTCTTTAGTCTCTAATGTTTCGAAGTCAAAAGTAATATAATATCTTGTCGGTTGATAATATTCCTGCAAATTATGAGCTAATAACCACTGATATATCTTCTGTTTCGTAATATGTGGTGCATATGGTTGCTGTGTCTTTTGCAACTGAACGTCTTGAATTAATCTTCCATTATTTTCTTTACATTTCTCACAATGCTTTAAAAATCTTCTTTGGTTTTTCCTTTCTGGATCATCACGGATAGAATAAACTTCTTCTTTACAATATGGACAAACTCTATAGCCGGTGAGTGCTTCAACGTCTGTTATTCTGTCAGCGTGAAGTTTTCCACATGGACTCTGTGTTAATAAAATATTTACTGTTTCAAATTCTGGATCTATCATTATTGAATCCACTAATGGAAAGTCTACCTTATTTATGTCCACGTCTTCTGGTTGAGGATCACAATAATAGAAATCAATATTAACATTTAACATTCTCGCTAATCTCTCACTTTCTGATGAAATGTCAAACCCTTCATATGAATCTATTGCTTCATTTAAATAACTTCTACGAGTTTTAGGATTAACACCATCAGGAATATTATAGAAGCGTTTAAATAACCTTCTACCTTCTGCTCTAATTTGATTATCATTCATTTTAGCTGTTCCGTTTTTGTTCATTTATGTAAAAATAAAAAATTAAAAAATAAAAATAAAGTTTATTTTTTAAAGCCCATAAAATGAATTAAGAACACATAAATTTTTATCATCTGCGACGTGACGAATACATTTTAATTTACTCAAGAATGCGTACCCTGATACATTAAATCTAATTCCTGTCTTATTTAATTTCACAACTTTGAAAAGGAATGTATGAATAGCTATAAAATGATGAGAAGATGTTTTATGGGTTGCTTCCATTTTTTCTGAAATAAATGAATAAATATAATGTTTATAAGTTTTCATATCTTTTATGTTCTTAATAACGAATGGTATAGACCTTTCCACTTCGTCTTCCTTCGGTGCTGTTCTTTCATATGAAACATTATTGGTATCTTCAATAATGAAACCACAATCACACAAAATTTTATAGGTTCCAATGGTTTCTTTTGATATTTTATCTAATAAATCAAAAACTTTATCAACACCTGTGCATTTATTTAAATAATAATTTGTGTAAATATCATGATCTTCTTTCTTAATCGTATTAGTTGCATATGTCACATTTTTAAGAGCTTTTTTGAATTTCTCAGAATCGAGAGGGGGTGAAAGTAGGATACAAGGGTATTCCTCATTATCAATAAATTGTAACTTATGTTTACGTATAAATTTAGTACCTTCTTCTGAAAGTGTTTCATCTATTTCGCCATCTAATAAATTTTGTGTTGATTCTGAGACATAATTTTTATATCTTTCTTCATGAGATTTCTGAACTTCTGATTCTGAAGCTGGGATATTCATTAAACCCTCTACTTCATTTTCATTATATTTTTCAACTTCTCTTAATTCCTTAATTTTTTCATCTATTTCATCTCTTATTTTTTCCAGTCTTTCAATTTCAATTTCATCGTATTCATCATCTTTAATCCGTTCTTCATAATATTCAGGGAAAACATCAGGTTCTTTAGGTTTTTCTTCTTTAGATGTGGGATATAAGAAATTTATAACATCATCTTTATTCATTTTTCCATCATAATCAAACTCATTTAAAAACTCCGCGAATTTTTGACAATTTCTTAAATAATATTTACTAACTTCATAACCCGCCTCCTCTAATATATCCTTTATTTCCTCATTTGTGAATCCTAATGTTTTCACGTCGTTAGTCTTGACGCTCATTTCATACAAAATAAAAATAAATTATTCATAAATGTAAGACATGAATTTTTAAAGTTTATTTTTTAAAATTTTTTTTATTTTTTATTTCATTATGGTAGTGAATCTTTCATTCATGAAAATAATTATATCTAATTTCTTTTACTCTCTCGTACATACTAGATTTGAAGAATTCAGAACTTTTACCATAATCTCCTAAATGTTTTCTTATCCCTAACGTGTGCCAGTTATTATATGAAACTGTATAAACTTTATCTTTATCTTTACACCTTTCATCACTTCCAATATATTTATATCTCAGTTTTGATTTAGCATTTTCATATTCATTAGCGTTTAATAATTCACAGTCTTCCTTTTTAAATTGATGTTTAAGATATTCAGGATTTAATACTCTACGTTTATATGCTCCTAACTTAGTTCTAAAGGTTTTTCTACAAAATTTAGGAATTCCATCCTCTTTAATGTCATCAATGATTTCCATTTCATTATTTTCAATTTCTTCTTCTCGTTTATGAGGTCTTTGATTATGACTCCATTGATTCCATGAAATTAAATATTCTTTATCATTATATTTATATCTCATTAGCTTATTTTGGCTTTCATATTCATTTAATAATTCACAGTCTTCCTTTTTAAATTGAAGTTTAACCCATTCAGGATTTAAACAATGTTTAATTAATCGCGGAATATCTGACATCATCTATATATAGCTTCTTTTATAAAAGATAAAAAAATAAATTATTTTAAAATTAATGTTAATTGAATAAAATGTGTTTAGTATATAATATTTATTACTAATTTATTTAATAATGTCGCGCTTTCTTACGAATTCATGACTTAAAAAACGTAAGAAAAAATTTTTATATCATTTATATATAGAAGATGTGAAAATATACCTTCATCTATATATAGACGTAACAAAAAAAGTCACACAACCCTTCCTATCCTACTACTTAATTTCTATATTACTATCTTGTTTGTAAATAATGGCAACCAAAAGATAAATTCTCTGATCCAAATGTGCAATCTTATCTTTAAAATCATAAAAAACCTTTTTGAATTGATATCGAAAGCATATGTAAAGGTTTATAGTGTTATGTTATATTTGAAAAGACTTGCTGATTCAATTTCAATGATATGTGATGATATATATCATATTCAATATTAAGAATTAAATAGAAAATCTTAATATGTATTGTGATTCCTATGAGTTGTATTGAGATAAAAAAGTTTTGATAAAATCATCTAAAACTTGCATCTATATGAATACAAAAAAATCTGGAAAAAAAATTGAAGATAGCCAAAAATTTCTGGTTAATAATTCTTCACATAAACAATAGGTCATTATTAAAACTCCAATCTAGAAAAATAATATGATGTGCCGATTATTGTAAAATAATTTGAAGAAATAACATGTCTGAGCTGATTGACTATTCTGCAATAGCAAGTGAACTTGTAATGAATTCGATAGATGCAAATGCCCAAAATATTACAGTTACCCTAGATCTATTGCTAAACCAGATACTTGTCACAGATGATGGAGAAGGAATTCAAAACTTAAATGCCGTATTTATCAAAGGAGGAAATACGAACTTAAATGGAGTTTACAAGCGTAATAAATCACATCTTTCTCGTTTAATATCAATTTGCGATGTAGATATTTTATCTAAAACAAAAGATGGTAAAATTCAACGAAAGACATTTGGAGATGAGCACTATATCGATAATTACTATGAATCAGGTACAACAATCTTACTTACAAAGATTTTTTCAAACAATTTAATAAGAATCAAAGAATTTACAGATCCGAAGAACAAATTATCATTAATCAACAGATTCAAACGATTTATCTGCACAATCTCATTACGATTTCCTCATATTTCGTTCATAATATTCAGTTCTTGTCAAAATCAAATTTTGAATCTTCCGAAAGTTGAATCTCTTGAGAAAAGATTCATCCAGATCACAGGTGTCAAGCCACAGATCCTTCCCGATGGGAAAATCATGTCATTTGTTGATTTCTCATTGAATTCTTTTGAAAATTTTTTGGTAAATGATTTTCCATGCAACAGATTATTTCTCGGTTACGAAGAAGTGAAAATAAACGAAAAATGTATCCAAGTAAAAGAAGGGTCTGTAATAGACTATATTTGGGATAGAGACGGTTTGACAGTGATGTTGTCAAATGAAAATCAAAAAGTGACAAAAAATTTTGACACCAATGAAGTTGGTGATGTAGTTATAAGGAATTTGGAATATGTATGTGTTTGGGATCGAAAATTTATTCTCGCGACATTTCAGAATAAATTATATTCAATTGATCAACATGCAGCACATGAAAGGATTAATTTGAGTAAATTGATGAAGAGGTGCTTCACAGAAAGGTATCCGAAAACTCTAAAGAGGCCTATGATGATCCATGAATCATTTGGAATTTCATTTAACGAAAAATCGTATGAATGCTTGAGAAAATGGGGCTGGAGATTCAATTGTAAAGAGGTTACGGCTGTTCCTTGCGTTTGTGGCGTGGAAATCGATGATGCAGATGGAATGATAAAATATGCAATACAATGCTCAACAGGAAACGAGCCGGAGATACCTGATTGCATATTGGACGCTTTAAGAACAAGAGCTTGCAAAACTGCCATTAAATTTGGTGAATTTATTGATGAAATTCGGGCAAAAAGTCTGATTTACGAGCTATCGATCTCTGATAGGCCAAATCACTGTGCGCATGGAAGAACAGTTGTCGCTCCGATTCTTGATTTCGATCGCCCCTTCTCTAAATTCGATGGAATCTGAAATTTTTATTAATTGATCCGTATAAACATTTGAATTTTTTTTTATAACTAATGTTGTTTTTTCATTCATGATTGTGTATAACGAAGATTGTTAGGAGAGTGTACTCATCGGAAAGTGGTGTATTAGCACTTATGCTGCTGTGCCTTATGACTGAATTGATTATGAATATCTTAGAAAAATTTGAAGTTGGAAAAATGAAAATTATTGATTTTTTTGATCAAATCTTTGTAAAAGGGTCGATTTTTATATTATATTTTTGCAATATTTTTTAAAAAATATCAAGTAATATTAAAATTTTAGGACGATAGAAGTATGGCCTTTTCCTATGATTGGAGGTAAGACTGGCCACAAAGGCTTCCAAGCACGCGAAATTTCGGCTGATGTTTTTGTTAATGCACTTGCTAAGCACTTCCAAGAGAACCGCATTGTTAAACCACCCGAGTGGGCCGATCTTGTCAAGACCGCTGCTCTTAAGCAGATGGCACCATCAAACCAGAACTGGTTCTACACACGTGCTGCAGCCGTTATCCGCCAGATCTACATGCATCATGATGCCTCACTTTCCGGTCTTTCATTCCATTACGGTGCTAACCTTAAAGCAGTTACAATGCCAAAGCACCATCACAACGCATCACGCAAAGTCATCCGCAGCATTCTTCAACAATTAGAGAAGTCCGACCTTGTTAAAGTTGGCGAAAAAGGTCGCCAACTTACACCAAAGGGCCAACGCCTTCTTGACCAAGTTGCTACAAGTTGTGGCAAGAAGCAATAAATTTGAACTGCTACTTTTAAACCTGACTTGAAGTTTTTTTGATAAATTGATTTCTTAATTTATACGGTATCTTAGACATTTCCTCATGTTATAATTTTTGAGATAAATGTATTATGCTATTTCTTTATGTTTGATGAAAATAAATATATATCCAAACTTTTAATATTTTAGTCACTATATATTGATTGCATCCAATATTTTTATATGATTTGGTTGTAAATTATTTCCAAAGGTACATTCACTATTTTTGACAAAATTTTAAATTTTCATGGGGTTGTAAATCTTATAATAACTAGATGAATAAGGAATGAATCCCAGTATAATGTGCATCATTATATTAAACACTATATGTAAGGCTAATGATTCTATTAACACTTATGACGATCTATAGTATTTGAGCAGATAAATTTGATAATTTCCAAAACTCTTATATTTCAAAATTAAAGTGTGCGAATGCATTTAAATGAGAGCAAAAAGAGACTGATGCTGTTAAAACTATGTGTTAATTTGCAATTATTTCGCATCACAAGAACTACCCAGTAAATTCGGCTATCTTTCTTTGCAATTATTCTCCATTATACATATAATATAATGGTTAGGGTTTGAAGAAAAGTTACTAGAGAATTATTGACTTTTGAAATAATGCAGAATTTTACTTGAAGAAATCATTAATTTATGAGTTCCAAATTGCTAAGCATGACGAAGGATCATTAAATTTGCTACAATTAAATACACTTATTGCAGAATTAAGATTTTTGAAATTAAAAGTTTGAAATATTGCCTTTTTGAATAAAAATTTAAATTTTATTATATAATCATGATAATATCTTATAGAAATTAAAAGAAAATATTTTAAACCATTCAAATATTTTGAATGTCTTATCAATTTAAAATATTAAAAGATAGCTTGATTTTATCATCATTAGTTGTTATCAAAGTTTTCTTCTTTGATGAACAACAGTAAATGATTTGTTAATTACTTGTCTTCCTTTTTCGCAGCAAAATCGAAAGTTATGATGATAATCTTGCTGTCAATTTTGAAACTCTCTGATTTACAAGTAAGCATTCCTTTGGAAAAGCAGTCCTATTCTGTTTTCAAGATATTTTAAAGCCTCCATTTCATACAATGCGCAGATCTATTCGAAATTGCAAGAACTCTCAAGAAAAATGCAGCAGCAAAGAAGATTCCATAGTTTCTAGCATCAAAAATTTATAACCTTAATACAACAGTTAAAGAGAAGCTCGAAAAGAAAATATTTAACCATAAAGCTGGAAACCATTCGATATCTACTATTGGATCTAATAAAAAGTTAATTATAACATATTTAACATGCTATTTGTTGACTTTGTTCCATTATATTACCATATATATCTTTTTGAAATCTAAAATATTTTTACGATTTTAACCATGTGTTGTTGAAACCATATATCAATCTTAGCTAAAGTATAGTTTATGAGTCTGTCACCGTCTAATGTATGAATTTTCAAAAATGTCAAATATGTTCATTTTTTCTGTAGATTCAGCCATAATTTCACGTTGTTATACTATTCAACTATTATTTAATATTTTTATCGATTTAAATATATGATGAGATGCTTAGTTCTCCTGGAAATCGATTTTTAATCGCAATTTTAACTTTCCAAAAAAAATTCAAAAATAAAAATCCCTCTCAATTTTCTAAGTTTTCTAACTCGCCAAATCTCCAGCCAATTTTTTTTGGCCCGTATAAATATTGTTAGGCACTATATAGGGATGCTATTTATCCTATTTTCATCCCATTTTACTGTTATCGCCTAGTGAATGTACCATTTTATTTCCAAGGAAGAAATATACATAAAAATTAAATTCCAATCCAAATATTAATACTATTTTCGCCCATAAACTCTGTAATTACGAATTTCCACCAATTATATTAAATTTTGATTTTTTAGTTTTTTCGAAAATCAAAAAATTAAATGAAAAAGATAAATTTACTTTTGCAAATTTTGATTTTTTGATTTTTTTTTTAATTTCCAGAATGATCAATTATAATAGCAATATGGAGTTGTCGTTTTTAAAAGACAGATTTATCTTAAAAGACGATGAATTAAAGATGATTTTATTAAATTGAATATATTCAATTTACAAATAACCACATCAAATTCATACAATCTAAAATCTTTTAGTTTTATAGATCATATAAGATAGATTGCTATAATCAATATTGTATAATTGAAATTTTTAGTCAAATTTATCCCAAATTTCTACCAAAACAAACGTTTAACAAAGTTTTAGATTGATCTTCTCTTACCAAACAAGCAGAATAAGCATTACTTGTGTTGCGATTTCTTTCAATTACAACTTGCATGAAGTTATCATTCGAAATTAATTGAAGAGAAGAAAGTAAATCTTTATGATTGTTCAATTTAAAAAAATTGAGGTGTTATGCAGCAATTTCTATGCAATTTACAAATTAAATCATATGCATCTGCATTTGGAAAATTACAAGAGATAGAATGATATAAATTATCGGTAATTGTTGTATTTTTTGATAAAAATGATAAGAGACAGTGAAATTATAAGTAAATTCCGAATAGAAAACATGTAAATCATATGATTCTAAATTAAAAACATCTTCACGAATGAACAAACTCAAGAAAGAGTGAAAACATATAAATGGATAAAGAATTCGATATGTTATATATATAAAGTCGTTCAGATGTAGATGACAGATACAGACACAAACTTATTCGTTCAATTGAATAAAACGTGTCAATGATTAATAATAAATAAAAAAAGTGTGGAAATAAAATGTAATGATGTCATTTCTTAGTTCGTTTCGAGGTCTTAGAATTTTCGTTTTGAACTACATCAACAATTGTAAAACCCATAAGATTTGTTGGTGCTGTTTTTAACTGTGTTTTTTTCTTTTCGATTTCTTCTTTAAGATCACAAATACGAGTTTCAAGTGCTGAATACTCTGAAAGACTTTTTTTATCAAACTTTGGAATTGGAGTAGAGAGAGTACTTAAAAGTTGTTCTTTGTGTTTCTGTAATGATGAATTCTTTTGGTCCCAATCGAAAATATCGTAATTAAGTTCTGTAATTTGTTTTTCGTGGGAAGTTTCGAAATCGTAGATTTCGTTATTACTTTTTCGGATGATATCTTCAACAAGTTTATCACGTGATGCAAGAAATATTTCTTCTTTCGATGAATTTTCGAGTTCTTTCTCAAAAACTTCAACTTCATTTGTTAAAAGAAGTGCTTGATATTTACGGATTTGTTGTTTAAGGATTGCATTTGAATAAGTACATTCTGTACAACTACAATTGACTTCGGATGATTCAAGAGCCGTATTGATAAGAATCTCTTGTCTTTCATCCATTTTTTCTTTTTTTTATTTGGCGCCAAATTTTATTTATTTGTTATTCGTTTGTATGTGATTAGATTTGCCTTGTTATATTGTTTTGCGTGTCAAAGGGGGAAGTGTCACTTTTTGGTTTACATGTCAAAAAGCGGATTTTTTAAAAAATTACTGATATAGACATTTTGCTTTGAAACTAAGGAATTGGAGGCCATGAGCTACTGATATATGATCAGTACCTCATAGCCTCCAATTCCCTCTCTATATGGAAGAAACTTTGTCTGCATAAGATAAAATGCAGACAAAGTTTCTTCCATTTATAGTAAGAATGAGAGGGTAAGAGGTATATAGATATACTATATACCTCTTGCCCTCTCATCTTTACTCTAAGACTTCCAAACTTTGGTTTAATGTCAAGACATTAAACCAAAGTTTGGAAGTCTCATAATAGGAATTGGAGGCTATGAGGTACTGATCATATATCAGTACCTCATGGCCTCCAATTCCTTTTTTGATATCCAAAAACATTCTTATGAATGAAAAATCTGACAATGTAAACTAAAAAGTGATATTTGTAAAGTTTCCCTCTTTGACACGCAAAACAATATCGTAATTGTTTTAGTAAAAATGCAAAAACTCAAACTACTGATAAAATCTCAACAAGAATTATGACAATTCCACTCAATATGCTGGTTTTGATAAGACAGTATGCTTAATGATGGAATCTGATAGTTCTATTCTCAGATTATGATACTTAATTCAAAGAAATTGTTGTTATATTCGATTAAAACAATCAATGTTGTAATTTAATCTCAGTTTGATTAGTTTAAGGATAGTAAAATAGAGAAGAAGTTATTAAGTTTCAGTTTCAATTTCAATTTTGAAAATTTAGATTTTAAATTTAAAAGTAATGAGAAGTATAAGTTTATATTGTAATGTTGAATTATGACATGAATCAATGATGTGGGTTTCAATGAAGAAAGAAAGGAATAAAAAAAAACTTCAAGTCAGGTTTAAAAGTAGCAGTTCAAATTTATTGCTTCTTGCCACAACTTGTAGCAACTTGGTCAAGAAGGCGTTGGCCCTTTGGTGTAAGTTGGCGACCTTTTTCGCCAACTTTAACAAGGTCGGACTTCTCTAATTGTTGAAGAATGCTGCGGATGACTTTGCGTGATGCGTTGTGATGGTGCTTTGGCATTGTAACTGCTTTAAGGTTAGCACCGTAATGGAATGAAAGACCGGAAAGTGAGGCATCATGATGCATGTAGATCTGGCGGATAACGGCTGCAGCACGTGTGTAGAACCAGTTCTGGTTTGATGGTGCCATCTGCTTAAGAGCAGCGGTCTTGACAAGATCGGCCCACTCGGGTGGTTTAACAATGCGGTTCTCTTGGAAGTGCTTAGCAAGTGCATTAACAAAAACATCAGCCGAAATTTCGCGTGCTTGGAAGCCTTTGTGGCCAGTCTTACCTCCAATCATAGGAAAAGGCCATACTTCTATCGTCCTAAAATTTTAATATTACTTGATATTTTTTAAAAAATATTGCAAAAATATAATATAAAAATAGACCCTTTTACAAAGATTTGATCAAAAAAATCAATAATTTTCATTTTTTCAATTTCCAAATTTTTCTAAGATATTCATAATCAATTCAGTCATGAGGTACATAAATAATGTGCCCACTGCCAAAATGACAAACATACTTTGTGGAATGAATCTCCTCACATGTGCAAAATTGAGATGAAATCTCAATTTTACTCATATGATAGAAACATGTGGCAGATAATTATCGCAGTCACTTTTATAGCATATTTGTTTTTGGATGTTTTGCGAAACCAAAAAAAAAACTATGATATACAATGTGTGTGTAAAGAAAATACTTTATTTACTAGTTAAAAAATCATTTGGTATTGATCAAGTTATTTTTTCTGGATAAGATATTATATGGATAATTGGATAGAAAATACAATTATATAATCTTGTACCTGGTTTAATTAAGCTAATTGTCATCAGAAACTTGTAATTTTTATGAATTTCAGATTTTCTTTTCATTACTGCTTTTCTTAATAGGTCAAGTTCTTATTTACGTTATAAAGTATGATATTTACAAATATCAAGTTATCATGTTTTTTGAGAAATTATGAGAAACAAACAAAAATGAAAAAGATAGGAATAGCAATGAATAGTGATGTGGGTATAGAAAATGTAAGAGATATGAATGCAAAGCAATCAGTATTTAGGATATTGACCATAGATTTCGAAAAAAATGCTGCATATTGAGCGAAAACTATGATTATATTATAAGGCTGTCATTTAAAGCATAATGAAACTATTCCCTTTTCATTTTAATCGAATAAGATAGTAAAGATTTTTGAATTAGCTAGAAACTGATGAGATGTTTTCACAAATCAGATTTTTAATCTCTATAATGCATAATTCACTCAATATCTCAATTTTGATATTGCGAGATATTTTTGCTATCGGTTTCGCAATTTTGACACAATAGCAAGAGGGTTCTATAAGCATTATTATCAACGTAGAATCTGAATATCATATCAGAAAATGTCGCAAATCTGACATTTACCCGACCAAATAGCAAAAATAATTGAATACTTTTCGCAAAAACTTTAAAAATCGATAAAAATATGAAATATAGATATTAAAGAGACTTTTTATATAATATTCATAAAGATTTTCCAAAAATATGATACCGCAAAATTAAAAAAGTGACGTCTTGAGTGGAGTCAAAGGTCGAAATTGCTAGCTAAATGTTTTTTAGCGAAATTGCGTATTGTACGTTTTTTTCGCAAAACGAAACCCTTAATGTGGCAGATAATTATCGCAGGAGTAGGGGTAATTTTAGCTAAAAGTGACACACCCGTGAAGGGTGTGATTACCGATCGGTAATTTCGACAGTTTAGAATTTAAAATTTTTTATGGAACTGTTGCGAGTTTCATAAAGAATTTAAGGAATATAAGCAAAGATTTGAATCAAAATCTTAGACCTAAGCCGCTCGATTCGCTCGCGGCTTCCGCGAATTACAGATCAGCAAAGATTTGAATCAAAATCTTCGAACTAAGCCGATCGCTTCGCTCGCGGCTTTCTTTATTATTTTAAATTTGCATATTTCCATCAAAAGTTCATAAGGTAAAAAATTTCGTTTATTTTTACTAAGAAAAAAAGGGTTTTTGATAATAAATTTATTTTATTTTGAAAAAGTAGCAATAATCGTAAAAGGGTATTGATAGGCTTGCTAAAGTAACTAATTTTAGCTGTCAAATACTTTTGTATTTTGAAGTAAATTAGTATAAATTTGTTTTTACTTTTATTTCGAAAAAGTAACAATAATCGTAAAAGGGTATTGATAGGCTTGCTAAAGTAACTAATTTTAGCTGTCAAATACTTTTGTATTTTGAAGTAAATTAGTATAAATTTGATATTATTTTAACTCCCTTTGAAAACCTCAATTTTCCATACAGAGGGAACGGGAATAGCAGCCAATATTCCCTGAGAATGGTTGCGCATTCTCAGTTCCCTCTATATTTCGAACGAAGCTCTCATCGGTCTTTTTTTTTAATACTAAACGTTTTTTCCCCTTTCACTTTTAGCTAAAATTTGGGTTTGCCCTTTTGAGTCCAACTTTGCAATCACACCCACTAACAATCATCTGACAATTCTAATATTCCTTCTGAATTACAATGTAATACTCATAATAAAATATTTTTATTAATTCATCCGGATTTCAATATAAATGCTAACAAAAATTGAATTGATACGGCATATTAATTAAATAAAATTACATTTTGATATCCATCGAAAAGTAACCAAAAATCAATTAAAATCACAAATATCTTTATATAAAACACGCGATATACGAAAAGATAACGAAATAGTGTCAAAATATAATAAATTTTGAAGTTCTTTAGCTTCTTTTTAAGAAATAATGATCCATTATACTAATAAAACTCATTTAGTCATACAGGCGTATAAAATCATTCTTTTATATGGGATGCAGTGCTTCTAAACAATCTCAAGTCGAAGCGAAAGACGATTTAATTTCTGATTGCTCAATTTGTGAAGAGACAGAGAGTGAGGAAGAACAAGGATCAAATGAAGAAGAGTCTTATCATGATGATTTTCCAAAATCAATTGGAAATTACAATATTATTAAGCAAATAGGTCAAGGTACATACGCAAAAGTATTTCTTCTCGAATCACAAGATACGAAACAAAAGTTTGCAGGCAAAATTTACCAAAAATCAAAAATAACGAAGCGAGAATTTGGTCGACCTAACAAATTCAAGATATTACTAGACGAAATAGAACTTATGTCGAAATTGGATCATCCTAATATCATTAAAAATTTAGAATTTATTGAAGATGATGAAAAAGATGCAATATGTGTGATAACACAATATGCAAGCAAAGGATCACTTGCACCATCATCTCTAACAGTTCCATCAATCGATGAAAAAACTGCAAAAAATGTATTTAAACAAATCGGAGAAGCTTTAGATTATCTTCACTCAAAAAACATCATTCATCGCGATATAAAGCCAGACAATATCCTTTTATTTGATGATGGAAAGGCAATGCTATCTGATTTTTCAGTTTCAAAGCAATTATCTTCACCAGATGAATTATTAGATGATTCTGAAGGAACTCCTTTATTCTGCTCACCAGAAGAACAAACAGGAGATCCATACGATGGAAAAATAGCAGATGTTTGGTCATATGGCTTATCTTTATATATAATGATTTACGGGAAGAATCCGTTCATGACAAAAGCTACAGAAGGAACTTATTTCGAACAATGTGTGAAGATATCCAAGCTGATTTCAGAGAAAGAAATCGAATATGATCCTGGAACTCCTATTTCTCCAGAATTACAAGAGGTTTTCAAAGCTTTACTCAATAAAAATCCAAAGGAAAGACCACCAATTCATCAAATATTGCAAATGAAATGGTTTGAAACCAAATAATTTATTTTCAATTTGTTTTGTATTGTTAAAATCGGATTCATCATTAATATTTACATATTTTTTTCTCTTTTATGATATATTCACCAAACAATAGACATAATCATCTTCAATTAATATCGAAGTAGGAGAGAATGCATGACGCAGTGCAACAAGATACTGTTGTTGGTCGTTATGCATCATTCTGGGAGGTATTACCACATCATGTCTCCTAGAATGGCACATTGTACCGCAAACACATTCTGATAGAATGATAATTAAAGAAATATAGAATCACAAGTTGATAAGTTTAAGTATAGGAAAATAGAGAAGAAGTTATTAAGTTTCAGTTTCAATTTCAATTTTGAAAATTTGGATTTTAAATTTAAAAGTAATGAGAAGTATAAGTTTATATTGTAATGTTGAATTGTGACATGAATCAATGATGTGGGTTTCAATGAAGAAAGAAAGGAATAAAAAAAAACTTCAAGTCAGGTTTAAAAGTAGCAGTTCAAATTTATTGCTTCTTGCCACAACTTGTAGCAACTTGGTCAAGAAGGCGTTGGCCCTTTGGTGTAAGTTGGCGACCTTTTTCGCCAACTTTAACAAGGTCGGACTTCTCTAATTGTTGAAGAATGCTGCGGATGACTTTGCGTGATGCGTTGTGATGGTGCTTTGGCATTGTAACTGCTTTAAGGTTAGCACCGTAATGGAATGAAAGACCGGAAAGTGAGGCATCATGATGCATGTAGATCTGGCGGATAACGGCTGCAGCACGTGTGTAGAACCAGTTCTGGTTTGATGGTGCCATCTGCTTAAGAGCAGCGGTCTTGACAAGATCGGCCCACTCGGGTGGTTTAACAATGCGGTTCTCTTGGAAGTGCTTAGCAAGTGCATTAACAAAAACATCAGCCGAAATTTCGCGTGCTTGGAAGCCTTTGTGGCCAGTCTTACCTCCAATCATAGGAAAAGGCCATACTTCTATCGTCCTAAAATTTTAATATTACTTGATATTTTTTAAAAAATATTGCACAAATATAATATAACAATAGACTATATTATAAAGATTTGATAAAAAAAATCAATAATTTTCATTTTTTCAATTTCCAAATTTTTCTATTCATTTCTAATGCAAATGCGATGCACTCTAGTATATTCACTTGGTGTAATCAAATATTCTCATTTTTCAACAGATCATCTCAAATTCCCATTACTTTGATGGTACTCAGCTATCTCAACAGCATTCTTATCTATACTTTCCTATAATATTTAAAATGGCACATATAGGAATAAGTTATTTTCAAACATGTTTATGAAAAGAAGTCTTTGACATGAAACTTGAAAATATCTTGTGTTTTCCAGACAAATCATTAATAGTTAGTTGCAAAACATGAATTTTTGATTGTATTAAGTGAGTAGACTAGGATAATTCAAATAATTTAGTAGGAGATGATATTTAAATGTGTCCAAAGGCAGTTGATTTTAATTCAAATTTCTGACAACCGTTGTGATGAATCATTGAAAAATAACCTTAAACAGCAATTGTCATTCATACAATTATTTTTGATTCATATACTGTTCGGTAATAGCAAATTATTAGCCTGAAAATAGCTCTTTTGATGCGTTTCTAACAAAAGGTTTATGTACACTAACCCTAAATTTCTCATTCTAAGTTTTCGATGATTCGTCATTCAGGTTAATACACTAACAAAATCAATATATCATTATTGTAGGGGCCATATTACGCCATTAGTGATATATAATAACTGTTTCCTGAATAGAATTCAGTGCTAAGTCATACAGTTACTTCTTCGCGACCGAAAATATTTCTGACTTTCTCTCAATTTTTTTGACATCAAAGCTTTATATTACCCAATTTTCGATGGTAAAAAGTTAATATTTTCGGTCGCGAAGAAGTAACTGCAAATCATTGTATAGTGCCTAATATGGCTGTTATACTTTTTGCAATCACAATAAAGATATATTGATATTATGGGAGCATGTCAGAAAATGGTAAAAAAAATAAGATTCCGAATAATTTCAATTTTTAACAAACAAATAAAAGAATTACTTGAGACTAACAGATGTGTGAGGCATATTTGAATCATCCGCCATCCATTTCACATAATCAATGGCCGAGGAAACGTTTTCATGGTCACATTTGACGTAAGTTATATGTTCTTTCTCTTTATCTTTCTCGTAATACAAAAAGTAGCCAAGATTTCCGATAAATCCAATTCTAGAGATATTAGAGAGCAAATGTGCAATGTAATGGCCTCTAATAATATCCTGTTCTGCAATAGGAATCGAGGCGTCAGAAATTTTCTTATTAAATAAATTCAATTGTTGTTTTTCTGCATTTGATGAGATAATAATGAAAGGATTGTCAATGGATACTTTCGTTGTCTCAATCTTCAATCGGGTGAAGAATTGTTTGAGGAATTTGAGCCTCGGAGGAATTTGATTGAAAACATCAGGTGTCGGAACAATTAATGGCTTAATTGTCATAAGGATCTTGAATTTCTTGAATCGTAATGCAACAAGAGGATACTGTTCGTCTTCAATTAATAATGGTGGAGCGTAAAGATTAATTGGACCTTTTTCTGAACGACTTAAACCAATAATCCAATACAAATGTTCTTCATCCTTGATGAGAACACGTGGAAATAGGTAAGGGAACTTCATTTGTAGACTTACTGCGAGTGTATTTGCAATATCTTGGGGAAACGTAGAATAAATAAAGTTTCTACTGTGCATAATAGCCAAATGCACAATGGGAGAATCAGGACTGAGTATTTGCGCCGCAATATGGTTTAATTGAGTATTAATATCTGATGGCAAGTCAATTTGGAAGAAAGAGTCAAATAAATGAATAAATGTAAGATTGGTATGCGATATGGCTTGAACAATTTGTTGGAATGAAGAGTTCAATAGCTTTGCACTTCGTCTAGAAACATTTCCTGATTCATCACGTATTGGCTTAGGGAAAAACAGTTTGTATAGTCTAATGCAACAGTTAAGAATAGCGTGGAGAAGATGTCTGTTTGGAGTTCCTCTATTTGTTTTAGAAACAGATATCCAAATGTTCTCAGATAGCTCAGAAATGGCTATTTCATGCTGATCTGTTAATGCGTAATCAACTGGAACTTGGTTTGTGAAAAATTTGGCAAACTTGATTAAAGTTAAAAATATACCTGCTTGATTTTCAGCAAAATGCTTAACTTCTTCGGATTCTGTCTTTACGAAGAACAGAGGAGGTGCACTAGCTTCTAATGTTTGAGGTCTTCCATCAAAAACCAAAAAACATTCAATCAAAGACGCCATTTTTTTTTCAATTATTGATGCTTCACGCCGATAAATTAAGACTGTATTTGATATTCTCCACAGCTGAAACTTTATTTATATCTACTGTACATTTAGTTCCTATATCTGATATAGAGTTACATGTAAAATTGACCTCTTCCATCAGATGTTTACGCAGTTATTAATTAGAACTCCCAACAGACATCTTCTCCACGCTATTCTTAACTGTTGCATTAGACTTTTAGAACATGTAAAATTGACCTCTTCAATCAGATGTTTCCATGTGATTGTACAATATCTTTAACAAGAATGTTTGCGCCGTTATTAATTAACACCTCAACACTATTCATGGCCATTTGCACAAGTAGACATCAGAGGAGTCCAGTTGTACTTGTTTTTTTAAAAATAAATAATAAAAACATGTAATACATTTAGTTCCTATATCTGATGTATAGACATGGCTCAAAATTAGAAAATTTCCTTTGAATTTTCATCAAAATGAAAAATCTTTTTAAAAATCACATTGGGAAAATGGATTCTGAGTATAAATTAGTAGGTTATATAATAGGAATCACTATTTGTTTATTTTTTTGTGAAAAAAAATTAATCAATAATAAATTTCGATATTATTTAACATTAATAAGTAATTTTCTTAGAGTTCTTTGTTGTCTTGCTTCACATTGAATTGAGAGTCCAAGAATTCCTTTACTGGGATTGAATTTACTTTTCCTGTGTAAAGTTTGTACTCATTACCAACTTTAGCGTATACGCCTGGGTACTTTGGTAATTTGAGTTCGTTGAATAGCTCCTTATCAGATGAAATTACGAATTTAACCTTCTTGTCGTTGTAATAATTGGCTGATGAAACCCATGACATTGGGCGCTTATCAGAGAAGAGAATTGCTGCGTTTTCACCGACAATTTGAGTATAATTTTCTTTGGTCACTTCGAGAAAGTCAGGAATCATGAATGAAGAGACCCATTCAACAATCGAAAGTGTTACTTGTGGTAACATCTTTGGATATTCGTTGATTACTTTGTTTTTGAAAAGAAGGATTCTGGGAACTTGATCTGTTGCAATTGATTCGCAGGCTGTTCTGTTTTCGTGGCAGTTAAGATCAGCGAATATTGCGGATCCTGCACCGAGTTCTGCTGCGTGATTCCACGTTGGAGCAAGGCGGACGCAGTGAGGACAAGATTCTGTATGAATCATAACAGCGTAGGTGTTCTCATCATTTGGTGGGAGAGATGTGAGATGCAATACATGCTCATTGAACTGAACAGATGAGAAGGCTGATGCTGTAAACAAAGAAAACATCATAATGGCAGGTAAAGGCTATTCAAATTCACTTCACAAACAACTTTCAAAAAATCGTCATGCAATTTCCAATATATGATGAAATGATTAACAAAATTTCAATTTGTAGCTTCATTTAAAATGAAAGCAATTCATTTTTTGAGGCAGCACATTGAAAATGAGTCAATTTTTTTTTCTCTCTGTATGAAATTGATTTCCCATCAAGCTTAGATTATATTTGATGATAGCTTTAGCATTGTTCGCATGATTTAACCATCAGAAATGCCTACTGAGGAATGTAATTCACTCATTAATTTATCTGTGACTCACAGATTTTGATTTTTACCAAAAAAGAGAAAGTTTGTTTTCTCATTTTCTAGTAGGACTTGTTCCTTACTCACACAAGATTCATACTAGAAAACAAACACATTTCAACATTAACGAAGATTGTTATGAGAGAGTACTTATCGGAAAGTGGTGTATTAGCACTTATGCTGCTGTGACTTATGACTGAATTGATTATGAATATCTTAGAAAAATTTGGAAGTTGAAAAAAAGAAAATTATTGATTTTTTTATCAAATCTTTGTAATATAGTCTATTTTTATATTATATTTGTGCAATATTTTTAAAAAAACATCAAGTAAAGTACTCACAAAATCTAGATTGAGAGGTGGTCAATGACTTTTGAGGGAAAATTAACGCATGGAATTTAATATTATTTAGGTTGATATTCTTGCTTATTATTTCAGAAAAAAATCTTAAAAATTTCAATATGAAAATTGAAAGCAATTCAAAAGAATTACTAACATGTAAATTTTAATATCCTATGCATAATTTCATATTTTGAACATTTTGTATTTTTGAAAGGTGACCAAACTATTTTTTGAAAGTCCGCCATAACTTTAATGGTACTATTTCAGCGTGTACAATGAATACAAAAATTCTAAGAGTGCCACATAAAATAGTACTTTAGACTTGAGTTAATGCTACCAAGCAAATGTTAAAAAGATGACTTTAGTGTTTTGATAATCAAAGATTAAAATCATTATTGTCTAAATCAATAATCATAACGACAGAAGTTAATGTTTTTTCATCAGTGCTTTAAATCCACTTTTAAAAGTATACCTCAAAAATCAAAATATCAAAAAAAATTGGCCGATAGGTTTGGCTTTAATTTTTGTCTGCTTTTATGATTTGATATGGATGTTATAATTTTAAAAGTTGAGCCAAATTCACCAATAGATTTTTGAGATTTGCAAATACTCAATAATTTTCAGCGTGTTATCTTTTATTAAAAGAACTATTTGGTTTCAGTATCATATAAATTGATATTTACTTTCTATTTGAACCTTCATTTAGCTAATGATTTAATAATACAGATTTCATCTAGTCCTTATAAGAGAATTTTGAATTTGTTATAATAAAAAAACAAACAGATATAGCTTACACTTCTATAATAAAGATACCTTTTATAGAAATCAGTATGAAATGTGTTTTGGCTTATTGGAAGTATATCAGACATAATCGCCATAATCAAAAAATCTATATACCCAATAAGTAATAAATTTGTCGATATAGATTTTCCATAAAATTAGTTTTTCGTCTGATCTTAAAATAAATTTAATTTTTTATAAAAAAATCACATTTAAAAGTACCTTTTTAGTAGCTCGAAATCCTGTTGGTGGATTTGGGGCGTACTTCAAAATTAGCTTTTCTTCTACATATGCAAGCTATATTTTAAATATGGGGCAAATCGGATCGGCGAAAGGAGTTTAGTTACCTTTTATTTTTGTTTAAAACTTAAAATTTTGCGAATTTAATATAATTTATAAAATATAATACGTATATATATTTAAAATACACTAAATTTAATTGTTAATTGACGTTTTTGGGAATGAATTTTATCAAAACATGCCTGAATCCGAAAATTTGAAAGAACGAATTACACAATCATATATGTAGAATTCAAAATACAAACTTAAAGATTGTATACGTTTAAAATTATTCAGATTGTGTTTGATTTCCACTCATTCTGTTTCTTTTGAACTCTAACACTAACATTTCATGATGATTACATGATCCATTTATACATGGTTGAATTGTTCCAGATTCTACCAGAAAATCAATCCAAATTTCTCAATGCATTCATGTTGATTGGACAAAATTTAAAATTTATCAGCCTGTTTCCAGAGAAACTCATATATTCCCTAATGAAATGTAATTTTTGCTACATTTATTTCAATCAAATTTCAAAAAATTGACTGCAGAGCTTGAAAAGGTGATGAATCATGTTGTTATTAGATGTACATATTAGATTTACTATTTCCAAAAAATGCTCAAATTTGAATAGTTTTTAGAAAATTTGGAATTACACTCCTTACATTATATATAATTAAATGTTTAAATTTTATTTATTTTTCCCTTTTAATTTTATAACGTGCTCTATCAAAACTAACCCCTCAATTGAAGGCCACAAAATCTAAGTAGTGAGGGTACACAAATTTTGTATGGAGTACGGTTCAATTTTTGAGAGCCTCACTACTTAGATTTTGTGACTACCTTAATATTAAAATTTTAGGACGATAGAAGTATGGCCTTTTCCTATGATTGGAGGTAAGACTGGCCACAAAGGCTTCCAAGCACGCGAAATTTCGGCTGATGTTTTTGTTAATGCACTTGCTAAGCACTTCCAAGAGAACCGCATTGTTAAACCACCCGAGTGGGCCGATCTTGTCAAGACCGCTGCTCTTAAGCAGATGGCACCATCAAACCAGAACTGGTTCTACACACGTGCTGCAGCCGTTATCCGCCAGATCTACATGCATCATGATGCCTCACTTTCCGGTCTTTCATTCCATTACGGTGCTAACCTTAAAGCAGTTACAATGCCAAAGCACCATCACAACGCATCACGCAAAGTCATCCGCAGCATTCTTCAACAATTAGAGAAGTCCGACCTTGTTAAAGTTGGCGAAAAAGGTCGCCAACTTACACCAAAGGGCCAACGCCTTCTTGACCAAGTTGCTACAAGTTGTGGCAAGAAGCAATAAATTTGAACTGCTACTTTTAAACCTGACTTGAAGTTTTTTTTTTATTCCTTTCTTTCTTCATTGAAACCCACATCATTGATTCATGTCATAATTCAACATTACAATATAAACTTATACTTCTCATTACTTTTAAATTTAAAATCTAAATTTTCAAAATTGAAATTGAAACTGAAACTTAATAACTTCTTCTCTATTTTACTATCCTTAAACTAATCAAACTGAGATTAAATTACAACATTGATTGTTTTAATCGAATATAACAACAATTTCTTTGAATTAAGTATCATAATCTGAGAATAGAACTATCAGATTCCATCATTAAGCATACTGTCTTATCAAAACCAGCATATTGAGTGGAATTGTCATAATTCTTGTTGAGATTTTATCAGTAGTTTGAGTTTTTGCATTTTTATTAAAACATTTGTGACACAACAAGGCAAATCTAATCACATACAAACGAATAACAAATAAATAAAATTTGGCGCCAAATAAAAAAAAGAAAAAATGGATGAAAGACAAGAGATTCTTATCAATACGGCTCTTGAATCATCCGAAGTCAATTGTAGTTGTACAGAATGTACTTATTCAAATGCAATCCTTAAACAACAAATCCGTAAATATCAAGCACTTCTTTTAACAAATGAAGTTGAAGTTTTTGAGAAAGAACTCGAAAATTCATCGAAAGAAGAAATATTTCTTGCATCACGTGATAAACTTGTTGAAGATATCATCCGAAAAAGTAATAACGAAATCTACGATTTCGAAACTTCCCACGAAAAACAAATTACAGAACTTAATTACGATATTTTCGATTGGGACCAAAAGAATTCATCATTACAGAAACACAAAGAACAACTTTTAAGTACTCTTTCTACTCCAATTCCAAAGTTTGATAAAAAAAGTCTTTCAGAGTATTCAGCACTTGAAACTCGTATTTGTGATCTTAAAGAAGAAATCGAAAAGAAAAAAACACAGTTAAAAATAGCACCAACAAATCTTCTGGGTTTTACAATTGTTGATGTTGTTCAAAACGAAAATTCTAAGACCTCGAAACGAACTAAGAAATGATATCATTGCATTTTATTTCCACACTTTTTTTATTTTTATTTTTATTATTCATTGACACATTTTATTCAATTGAATGAATAAGTTTGTGTCTGTATCTGTCATCTACATCTGAACGACTTTATATATGTAATATATCGAATTCTTTATCCATTTATATGTTTTCACTCTTTCTTGAGTTTGTTCATTCGTGAAGATGTTTTTAATTTAGAATCATATGATTTACATGTTACTTCGTCGAAATTTTGCTTATAATTTCACCGACTCTTATCATTTTTATCAAAAATTACAACAATTACCGATAATTTCTATCATTCTATCTCTTGTAATTTTCCAAGTTCAGATACATATGATTTAATTTGTAAATTTCATAGAAATAGCTACATAGCTCTTAATAAATAATTAGATATACTAATGCTTAATTATTTCATTTTAGGTATATATTAAATTCAATTCATAAGTATGAGATGCTAAGGCCTGGACAAAATCTATAAAAAAATTACCATGTTTATAATACGTGGATTCCGCACGTATTTATCACCGTATGGACAGGCCAAGAGATGCTGATATTAAAGCTTTGAAATGCGTTGGTAATTCTTTTTATATAAATTGTTTTATCGGTGCGTAGCGCCAATAAAAATAATTGAAAAAAAATTATATGACCGTTAATAAATGAGTAAAGTAGAGGAGAAACCAGAGACAACAGAAACACAAGAAGTCAGATATACTGCTCCGGCCATCCCAGCATATACTGCTTTATTGTATCACATCTGCAAATACTGGTTTACGCCTTATTGGGTAATAATGTTTTTCATCTATTTATGCAAAGATTACTTGTTATATAAAGGTGTTGCACCTCTTGATTGGGTATTCCTATTTTTATGGATACCTATACAGATTATTGCTATTTACTTCGGTATCCGAATGTTCCGCCTCCCGGTTGCATCATTTTTCTGGCCTTGGCTCATTTCGTCAATTGTTGCAGTATTCTTTGAATTATTCTTCTTCATTATTGCTCAAACAGTTTTATATTTCGAATACATTATAACTATTATTATCTTAATTACTCAAATTATATTACTTCTTGCTGGATTTGTCTCATTTTTCATCCAGAGGCGTCCAATGAGAATCCAGCCAGAGTAATTATTTGTTATCAAAATGTTAAACGAAAATTTTTGTTTTTATCATCAAATTTTTAATTCCTAGGTATAGCTGAATAAATTTGTGCCATGTAATCATATTGCTGCCTTTGAAATTTGTAAATCACTTATTATTTCTGAAAATTGAGGTATTTAAAATGCGCAATTTGTTATAAGATAGTAATAAGAAAGAATCGATGTATTGTTCTCTCGCTATAGATCAACAATTGCTTTGATTACATTTCATTCGAACTTATCATTATTCGACAAATCGAAATTTCTTAAAAATAAGTTTTTAATCAAACAATACAATGATAGAGAAGAGAAAGTTGGAGCCTAAAAGATAAGTAAGCAGGTCAAAGGGTTGAGGAATGAGAGGGAGTAATTGACTAGTTATTTGACTTGATAATGTTTTCGAGGTTTTCGATTTCTGCAGCTTTTTTCTTTTCTTCTACGATTATTGTTAAATCTTCCTCTTCTTGTGTGGCTTTTTCAACCTTTTTTCTAGCTTCTTCTAGTTTGTCACCTAAAATTTGGCGCTTGAGTTTGATTTCTTCAAAATCTTCTTTTAATTTATTTAATACGATAGAATTTATGCGAATTTTTTCTTGAGTTTCGTTTTGGTTCTTCTTATTTTCGTCAAGTCGTTCAAATATTGCAGCAATTTTTTCGGTAACTTCGTCCAATTTTTGTTTAAAATCTGGAATAACGTTTTCATCTTCTATATTTTCACTAATCTTCTTTAAAGAGAAGTTAATTGCTGTAGCTTCGATTTTTGCATTACAAAATGGGCATCTTTTTGACTCAAGCTTTTCTAAACAATTTTTGCATAATGTATGACCACATGGAGCTAAAGACATTGGTTTATGATCATCATCTGTCATATCTTGATGACATTTCTTGCAAACAAGAACAGATGATATTTCAGCTGTTTGATCTTCTTTAACTAATTGCTTCAGCTGAGTAGATTCTTCTTGGTTATGCTCCTGCATTGCCTTTTCCAGCCATATTTTTTGTTTTAATGATAAATTCATGAAAAAAAATCCGAAATACCACCTAGAAAAAAATTTACATTCGCTATTTTTGACAAATTAATGGGATAATAAATCATATAACAACTGGATGAATAAAGAATAAATTCCTCTGTTAGTTGCCCCATTATATTAAAAACTATACATATGACTGGTAATTCTAATAAAGCCTATGAAATTCTTTAGTTTTGGAGCAGATAAATTTGATAATTTCCAAAACTTTTATATTTTCAAATTAAAGTGTACAAATAAATTAAAAATCAAGTTCAAAGCGAATGGCGCTGTTAAAAATAGGTGATAGTTTCCAATTATTTTGCATCACAAGAACTGTCCAGTAAATAAGGCTTTCTGTCTTTGTAATTATTCACCATTGAACATATAATATATCAGTTAGGATTTGGTGAAATAGTTACTAGAGAATTATTGACTAGTAAAGAAGAATTTATTGTTATAGACCGAAAATAGATTTTTTCGGTTTTCTCTTCAAATAATTGAAAGAATGATACTATTATAGGTTTATTATATTATATAGCATATAATTATGCTATAGCCGAAAATTATAAGTTTTGAGAAGATTGAATATAACACAAATAAATTTGAATGTAAGTTAAATTGCTTGTTGTTTTTAATAGCTCTTTAATGAGAATTCCAATATTGCAAAATTCAAATTGAATGATTGAAAGAACAGAAAAAGTCATTCTTTTCAATTTCGAATATGTTTCATTGTATTTATAATTATATGGCAAATAAGATATTTAAACTTGATTTTTGAAGGAAAATTCACAAAATTGAATAAATTCAAATAATTTTTATTCAAAAATAAACTAGTTATTTGAGTTTAATACTAATTATCTATTCAAACTACAAAGTTTGTAATTTAAAATATATTGTGAGATCAGATTGAATTAATTCAAGATTCTTTTCAATTAATATTAATGACCATATTACGCATTTTCGAACATTCTAAACCAAATATATCAAAATGGGAGACGAATGTTAAATTTGCTAGACATGGGGGAGTTGTCTGCAAAGTTTTAGCTCTTATCTCTAACAAAAAATTAATTTTTAAAAAAATGACCGAATACGTTTCACAGCGAGAAAAAAATAAAAGGCAAGATAGAATTTTCTAGACATAAAGAAGTTGTTTACCAAGTTTTAGCTCTTATCTCTAACAAAAAATTAATTTTAAAAAAATGACCGAATACGTTTCACAGCGAGAAAAAAATAAAAGGCAAGATAGAATTTTCTAGATATAAAGAAGTTGTTTACCAAGTTTTAGCTCTTATCTCTAACAAAAAATTAATTTTAAAAAAATGACCGAATACGTTTCACAGCGAGAAAAAAATAAAACTGTACACTGATTTTAATTTTCATTTCCAGTCACTTTACTTATTATTTTTTCTTTTTTTCATTTTAATTATAAATTATTTCATAATACGTTTATTTACGTTACCATTTTCTTTATTCTTTTGAATTCCATACTAGACACTTATAGAATATTTTGATTGTTAACGTACTTCATTAGAATGAATCCTTACAAAGGGTATGTCGATCGAATTTACCTAATTGGTATTTCCAATCAGATTGAAGAAGGTAAAATGACATGGGAAGAAGCTTGCACCCATGTTCCCATCGCCCCAACCCTTCAATCAAATGATTTCAAATATTTAGATGTTTCAAAATCTTTTTTACAAAATCAATTTAGCTTACAGAATATCCCATTGCCTAAAGGCAAGAAAGGTCGTAGGGTCAATCCCTACGACCAAATCAAAGCTCTTGCTGTGATACATGACCACTGGGCCTTTCCTGTGGTCAAACAAAACAATGGAAACGTTTGAAATTACAACAAATTGATGTATCTTATAGAGAAGTACGCAGATACTTCAAAGAAAATCATTTCACCAAGACGCGATTAGAGCATGCCGGGCCAGAAACAGCAGTAAGATATTGGGCGCTTTCACCCAATCTTATCTGGCACGCAGATGTTCATTATTTTAGGGGTGTTCGTGGCCAGTATATTTATGGCATAATCGACGATTTTAGCCGCAAAGTCCTAACGTGTATACAAATACCAGATATACTGGCAGCGACGACAGCGAACGTTGCGGCTTCCGCCTTCATTGAATTTGGCGCCCCTTATTGTTTCTGGACCGACAACGGTTCAGAAAATAAGGGCGCCTTTCAAGATCTACTTGATCTTTTGGGCGCCCAATGGCGGCATACAGACTCTCATTCTCCCTACCAAAATTGGAAGATTGAGAGATTCTGGCCGACATTGGAGCGCTGCCAAAGCATTCAGGCTATTCCTGCCTTTATTTGGGAGTACAATAATAACACACCGCATGAAGATCTCCCAATTAATCCATTAACTGGAACAAATTACACGCCAAATCAAATGTATCAGCTGAAACCGAAATACACAAATGCAGATACAGAAAGGTTGTGGCAAATATGGGATACAGATACAGGCATGACCGCTGTTGACACATTCACAGCGTAATAATAAACATAATTTTTTAATTTCATTTTTAACAAGTTTTTTAAATGTATGTAATGAATAATTCATTAGAATATGATAATGCACATTGTAACAGAATAGAACAATCACCAATTTTTTTTTGAAATTATAAAATAAAAGTAAAAAGTATAAAGTAATCTAACCAAAAAAGATATTTAAAAGAATTTTGGAAAAAACAGAATAAGGATAATGATATTATTTTAGATACACAATCGATGTACTGAAGAATAATCCGGTAAAATGATGATATAAAATTAGATTATTTTACAAGTAGCTAAAAGAATAAAACTATAATATAAAATAAATGAAGTTTAATGAAACAATAAAGGTTAAGGTCAGGTGAGTGGGGCTTCCAGGCACTTCGTGCCCTCTAGCCCATAAGAAAACCTAGAGGAGAACTAAAAAAATTATATAGTAAAAAATTAAAGTTTTTATTCGATAAGAACGACATCGCTATCGTTTTCTTCTTCCTCCTCCTCTTCTTCATAGTCAGTATCTGATGGCTCTTTGTCAGCCACATGACCAGCAACAAATATTGAGACAAATTGTTTCTTTGGTTTTGTTAGCAGGAACTTTTGATGGTCGTAGAACACGAATTCTACATTTTGAAAATGCTGTGCTGAGTATTCTGTGAAATGGGAAATTGGAATTGGTTCTCCCATGCCAAAACCAGCAATGGACGCGAACAAAACATCGTCTTCGACTCTTGCAGGTTTCTCAATTGCAACAGTAGTTATTATGTGAGGTTTTCCTTCACATCCTGCAAGAGATTGTACATGATAGATTGCTTTTTCTTCTCCCTCAGGAACTGAAAGTGTGAAATGGAATGAGAGTTCTCCATATTCATTTGCTTCTTCGTAATAGTTGTATGTTGTAGGATACACCAATTGAAATTTTCCTATTCTTGTTTCCCTCAGGTGTTGTCTATATTGCTTGGGAAAACATAAAATAAATTGCTCTATAGCTTGTGTTGCTATTAGATTAGTTGTAACTGGTAATTTTGAGGCGAAAAGGTCTACAAGAACACCGGGATTTTTTATGTCGTTTTCAATTGGTTTAAGAGATTCTATGACTTTGTTAAACATTTCACTATAATCTGAGTTGTCTTCGACCCCCCAATTGTTAAGAAGTTTATACAACAATTTCAGTCTTTTCATGGCGTATTTTCTTTGAATGGATTCGGGTAGCGAGAGGTTACAGTCGTCGCTTTGTATTTCGTTACTCGAATATTGTTCAAGAGAAATTAAATCTTGAAATTGTGCTCTTGTTAACATACTTGTAGTTTGAGAGACTATATCTTGTTCTATTGGTTGTAAATCTGTTTCAGATGTTTCTGTTGTGTTTTGAGAAGAAGAAGAACTCAAATTGTTGGACAATTTGTCTTGAATTGTAGAACTATGTGAAACTTGTTCTGGTGCTATTTGGACAACTGTTTCAGATGTTTCTGTTGTGTTTTGAGAAGAAGAACTCAAATTGTTGGACAATTTGTCTTGAATTGTATGAGGAAGTTGCTTTGGTATTATAGGAGGTCGTAAGGGTTTTGAGAATGGTGAGACATAAGTTGTAGGAACTTTAACTGCAGAGGTAGTCGACGAATTGTTTGCGACACTTTTTCTTCCTTCCATTATGAAAAATGAACTGTTTTTTCGGACCACTCATAGAAAAGTTTAAAATAAACCGTTTTCGTCAACGGAGACCCCTCTATTTTTTTATTTTATTTAATAGTTACCGTTGGAAAACCGTTCCATCTCAAATATTGAATGAACTATAAACGTTTTTTGTTTTCTATATATACATTTTTGTCCAACGGTAAAACTTTTTGCACAACGGTTTTTGAGAGTCGTCGCCGGTGACTTTTTTGTAGAGCACTCAAAATAGTATAACTTTGTCCGGACAAGTAAGGGTCTATCGTCGCTACAGGAAAAGTTACAGGCGTTCCAAGGAAGTATACTTTGAGAAGCCTTTTCTCCCTTATAGAATGAGATAGGACGGTTATTTTACAAAACTGACAACAGTTTGACCGAGTAGTTTTTTGTGCTGAACAAAAAGTGTCATATAAACATCTGTCAAAAACCGCTTTTTAACTTCACTTAAAATGCCACGTAAGCTACGTAAGAATATACGTAAGAGGAAGAGAGCATTGAAACATCCAATAGTAAAACTGACACCACAACAACAGTTGCAACAACAAATGATGAATGACCCCACTATGTTGCAACAAATGTCAAGCAATCCTATGCTTTTAAACCGAGTTATTGGTGCACAGAGTGGAGGTTTAAGAGCGGCACTTTTAGCGAAAATGGCAGGCTATGGTGGAGCTGCAGACGGAACAGCTTATAACCCTCAAAGTCAAATGAATTGGAGTTCACTCAAAATCAAATAACAGATGTCAAAAAGTCAAACATAGACATACAGAAACAAATAAGTGAAAACGAAAAGAAACTAGAATATGACAGACACACAAAGAAACTCAATGAGTTAAACG